TTTTATTTTTACTTGTATGAAATGGATCATTTAAAATGAAAACAACTCATCCAAATAAAAAATGTGGAAAAATGAATGTTCCAGGCTCCCGGATAGATATGAAATTTTCATGAAACCGTAATTGAGCCGATCAGTATGCATCAGTAAGCAATATTATTGGTTGTTTTTTCAACACCAACATATTTTACGTCTGCCAGAATTATACATGGCTTAATACAATACCAATTTATCAGTGTTTGCTATTTAAGGCTTTATAACATAATTCGCAGTAGAAACCTCAACTTGAGAAATACTCACTTACACAGGCACCGTGTTTTCTGCTCATTTAATTTTGTATCGTAAGAACGAATCTAGACAAACTCAAATTAAGAAATTATTCTCGTAATCTAATACCCTTCGTTATTGATTAAAATGTATGACATTTTACTTGGACTCTCGCGCTATTGACGAAGAAATTTAATCTTGCAATATTTTTAATTTTGAGTTTGCGAGATGCCGAATACTGAACACAGGGTAGCTTCAAGCACGCATTATCGATAGACAAATGAGCACATTGTAATTACAGGCTATTTTTAAATTACATCCCCGGACGGTTATTGCCACTTAGGCCTAACAAACTGGCCAGGCGAAGGCTGCCTGCGCTCTCGAGAGGAAAATCTCAAGGATCCAATGATGCAAATATGCCAGCAACCAACAATGGAGGAAAATTTCATCGTGCTTGTATTACACAGAGGGAGAATATTTTGTAGCTAAACAGCTTTTATGAAGCCCCATAATCAGACAGGCGTGTCATCATTGCCCTGACTGTGCAGGCTTTCTTTTTGCGGTCCACAGGCGCTGTAATTCTCCCAGTTTTTGTTTGTCTAACTGCCTAATTTGCCAGTATTCAGTGCCCTACGTCAGTGCAGGAAACAAACCCAGTTCTCATTTCGAGCTCGCAATGGGTAAATTTGCTGAATTTTGAGCGAGATTCCGATTTCTGGATCCTCAGTGTCAGGGGATTTACCATTATCCCTTCATCGTCGCACGTGACTATCACATTTCCTTGGGTTTGGGAAAACCGTTGTGAAGCGCTCACTGGGACGTGAATGCAAGTTGGATTATTATTATTGTTATTATTATTAGCTAATTTGTAACCCAAATTTCATCTACTGACACAAACTTCAAGAATTTCCTATTACCTCAACAACTTCGTACTTTGAACGTCAATGCGCTCTTGGAAAAAGTTGCTCATCGGAAATCACCAACAATTGCTTGGGTTACAGGGCAACATTTATTATAGTCGCAAACAAAGGAAGCTGTTCGGCAGCAGTTATTAAATGTTCCACTCCCCTCGCTAAAGAAGTAAAAACTAACGCAATTTCCGAGGGACGAGCGTGAACGTCGGTCCTAAAGCTCTTCTAATTAGAGCTGATGCAACAAGACAGACTTTTAGCCGGGGCAAATTAAAGCAAGTCTTTACAGTCCATTAAATGATATAAAACAAGGCACTGAGACTTGGACTGACCGCTGCTGAGGTCCATTCTAAAGAACAAGCTTAGCTCTTGGCACTGTTCTCGACAACGCAAGGACAACATTTCGTTCAAGCAACTGCCAAGGAACTGCCATTAGACTTACCCTGAAAATCTCACAAATTACTTTATTCGCTCCAGAAACTCCGAGAAGTGGGAAGAAAATTTCTCGGGCATCCTTATCCATTAACAACCATTGAAGTAAAAATATCTTGAAAAAAATTAAAATTGTGTTCAAGCATGCAGGTGCTTCGTTTCATCTATGTTAACGAATTGTGGGCCCTAAATTGAATTTCTTGTGACGCCATGCATGCAAAATTACACTTTTAAAGCCTAGGAATAAAACTACTAGGCCCTCCTACCGATATGTAGCGAATTTCTCGATGTGCTGCTCTGTTGTAGGCATTAAATTAAATTATGTGGTTCTGAGCGAACAATGACTATTGATTTGTCTCCTAAAAAAGGACAACTCGGAACCCTAGAGAACGTTTGGTTGTCTTCGTTCTGAATGTCGAGTTACATTTATTGGATTTAATTAAAGGTAAATTAATGATTACTTCATTCAAGCAATATTTTTGCGTTTAACTCGAACTGCCTTCGCCCTTTTGTCCATCACCATTATAAGGGCTAGGAAACTTAAGGAAGTACGAAGCCTTTTAATTTCCGCTCTGTTATCTCATAATTCACATATATTAATTTCAGTACATGCTTGTTCGTACAAGACCAAAAGATTTCAAGCAGAGACATGAAGTTCGGAGACTCATCAAAATTACAAAAAATTGCAAGAAAAAATATATTTTTTAGCTGATTATATGACAAATTATGGTTGACAATTTTTATTTAAACATTATTTCTACTTCATTTCCAATACACGCTGATTTATTTATTCGTCGAGAATTTTTCGCGAAGTCATTGCGTAGTCCCAACCACACTAGCATCCAGCTCGTTCTGAGCTCTTTTACCTGAAGAAACGAGCGTTCGTTTAGAGAATCCCTCTAGTACGAGGAGATGAACATTTCAGGGAATCCCTCGGGATGGGAACCTCTGCACCAAGACACTTGATTGAGCCTGGTTTCCCGAGCTGAATTCTAACGAAGGCTCGTCTTTTTGCGATCGCATGAGAGAGCAAAACCATCTTCTCCTCAGCTCCGAGAGCCTTTGCCTGCCTTCCTTTATTGAAACGAACCAAAAACCTAAAAACTCGGCTGGATTCGCCTTATTGAACAAAAACTTCTTGTTTGAATTTTTTAACACCGCGTTGCAGGTTATATTATTTGATCTAACAGACTAAAATAGATCCTCTTCTAGACCAACAGCCGATGGAAGGTCGTGGAGGGAAGATAGGGAGCAAACCAAAATGGCGGCCGGAGTCCCGGGTACCTTCATATGCATTTTTGGCTCAATATTTACGACTTGGTATGCGTGTGGTGCATCTTATTGGTCACGTGAGCGTCATGAAGAATTTATGTGGAACAATTATAGGGTGCGCTGCAGGCGCCTCAATATCGCCTCCTCCCGAGCTTTCTTTAGCACCAATAATTCAGTATTGGAGCTGGAGCAGGTGGCTAGCAATGTCCGATATATTACGGGAAAAAAATCACGGGATTTTCTATGGAACTGCAATTCTCTCTGCATGCGCGTCGCTGGATTTGTATTCAAATTCATCATCTATTTGAATATAAATTTCTTAGCTATTTTAGCTTTCCTCAATCTGTTTTTAATAGGTCTTCATAATTAGCTATTTCTCACAAATTTCTTTGGTATATGTATTATTCTCGTTGATGTTTCCATACGGAATCTCCCAAATAAACTGTAGAGAATTAATTCGTTTTTAAGTTTCTCCTCTTTCATATTTATGATCTGAGGGGAAATTTTGAATTAGAATCTAATAAGGACTAATTGGCACGTTAATATGCCGAGCAGTATATGAAATATAATAAAAATGATGAAGTTAAATTACATCAAATCATCAAAACTACTCTCATCACGTTATCATCTTCAGGTCACATTAGAAGAATATAAGTTTTGAAGAGGCAATAAATAGAAGGCCAATGCCTCTCCCGGCAGAGGCTGATGAGTCTGCCCATTAGGGCTTCTGGGCCTCTTTGGCCATAAAAGCCCTGGCCAAGATACAGCCCAGTCTGGCCTCGACACAAAAAAATATCAGCCGTTTAGGTCGCCTGTTTTCATTAGGCCTGCGATGTTCCATCTGTCCATGTTGATACCAAGGCTACAAAGTGGCCAGCATTCACTAATAAGCTCGCTCCGACCAATGAGGACGACTGTCTAGGGAGCCGAGCACAGAATTATTTTCCGGCAAGTTTTCAGCAAATTGGCCGGAGGCTCTTGAGCGTCCGACGTATTCTTTGTTTAGTGCGACTGACTTGTTCTTTGGATGAATTCGCTTGCAACGATAAGAAAATAATGATTTTGGTTGTTTTAGATGCACTTATGCGATATTTTTCAGCAATTTTTTTACAAAAATATTTGTAATACGTCCGCAGTAAGGAGCAAGTTTCCGTGCTATTAAATTATAACTAACATTTGGCACCAATCAAATTATTTTATTTAAGGCCGAATAAATTGATGCTTCCAATTGGCCGATTCACTAAATCGGTTATGCCACTAGCATTTGGATGAACACTGTAGACCCCTTGAAACTTTATCCACGCTGCTAATAAAACGCGTGGAAAGTTTTGCAAGCGCTGCAAATAATAGAACGCCGTCGTGATGTTCCGCAAGGAGAGTAGCTCCGCTCCGACTGTAGCCAAATGGCTCAACTGAATGTCCATCTTTTAGTGCAGCAATTGCCTTCCTCGCTATGTAAATTTGCTTTATTTTTCCGGACGACATGCTTAAGAGTCGCGGCCTGGCCCGAGTGCAACTTTCAAGGCTGGAAAGGCAATTCATCAGAGACTGGAACTATGCCCAGGCAATAGTGGCGCCCAGCTGGAATGAAGTCTCGTGTCTGGACGGGGAAACTGTCTGGGACTGGAATAAAGACTCGAGCCTGGACTTGCACGACCGTCTTTTGCCCATCAAGTCCATGGACGTTCTCTCGCGCCGACCAGATTTCATTCCAACAAAATGACTCAAGAAGGAGACCTACTCTCGCCCAAGTTGATTAGATGCTGCGCTACACTGACCATCATGAGAACTGCACTACACTGACGGTCGCAAGAACTGCAGTCTAGACTTGGAAAGTGGCGGAAAACGCGTCAAATTAGTTTCTAAATTGCAATAACCAAACACGAACAAAAATAATTAAAATAACGTATACAATTTAATGAAACCGTGAAGCAGAGTGCGACCATGCAATTGCAACATATTAATACGTGATAAGGGGATCATTTATGCAGCGAAAACGGTAACTCTAGCCAAAAACAGGGTCAAATCGATGCCTGATACAAATAATGTTTAGTTAGCACGGCAGTCTCGTGAAAGATTACATTTGGAGATTCCTGTAATGTTAAGAATGAAACTCGTGTAACAGCACTGAGCAGTTATAATAACGACCTCCATTTACATGAATAAAAATTAAAAAATCGTACCCGCGAGTTTCTAGACACAAGCGAGTATAATGTAGCAAGTTTTTTAGACAACCAACTCGATTCAACGCAATAGTTAGAACTCCAGGTCTCCCTAGATGCTTTGCTGCCAAGACAAGGAAGCATCGCCCTGCGACATGTGAGAAACTCGGACACTTAAGAAAAGCTCCTACAAGTTGACCACACAGTGATTAGATCGGACAATAATTGACCAGCCTGTAGGAGTAGGTAGATATACAAAGGAAAAACACGGATAGACACTAATAATTATACCTCAAGAAAACCTGTGATGAGACAGGATTTTTATTCCAGCAGGTAACTTACAGATGTATTAATTTCCACTACCCGCAGTTATCCACACAATAATTGCAATGATATTAGAGTTCAAATTCCGCACAAATCAATATAAAACGAAACCAAATAAGCTCATCAACGCCAAGGATCTTGAACATGAGAAACATGAGTAAATGATGCATTCCATCAGCTCTCTCAACACTCAATATTGTTCCCAAAACAATCGTATCATTTTGTAATCATATGTTTAATTACCTAGAAACGTCACAGTCGTCAGAAATAACATTTTCAGCCATTGCACTGTCATGTACCCTCGCTATCAACTCGGGAATGTCTTCAGACGTTGGCTGAGATTCATTGTCTGCAACCGATGCATTGGAGGAAAGATTTTCTTCACCGACATTACTTCCAGGTAGAGATGCCTCAGAAAGAAGAACCGTAGATGGTAAAGAGTTGCTCGTAGACTCAGGATCATCCAACTTCTGAGAATCATTCAGAGGATTTGCTTGGGAATTTGTAGTCGCATGTGGCTTAAGTGTATTGGACTGTGTGCTGAATGAGGATTCCAAGTCATTGACTTCTGATGAAAAGTTTGTGTCGGCATCGTCGGTATCAACAAATGCAGCAGAATCCCCTAAAATTACATCAGATGACTGAGTATTATAAAGCTGCTTTTCAGCAGCAGATGGCTCACAATTATCAAGCACAGTGTCATGACTTCTTACTGAAGAGATCAAGTCACTACTCTCGGAATTTAAATCAGCAGCTGCTGACTCGGAGCGTTCTTGTGAACGATTTATATCAATATTTGAATCCAAACAGCTAGATGAATGCAAGTCCACAGAAGCATTGTTAGTACCCAATAAGGCAACATCATCGTCAAATGAAGCACCATTTCCATGAGCACAAGGAGTCAAGTTGACATCAGTGATAGGGTTATTCTCGTTGGCTAATGAATTTCTTTCATTGGAAGACACATTCTCATTTGAGGTTTTAATCGACATGCCATTGTCTTTTGGCTCAGCATCTTCAAGGGCATCCAGGGCAGCATCTATTTCCATGGCATCAAATTCGTCATCAAAACCGTCGCCTGATGGCGATGTCTCAACGTTAGTTGTTGAACAATTCTGAGACGCTGTAACAGCATTCAGGAGGTTGTTACGAAGACGCCTCACCTCTTCCTGGGTAGGCTGGACTGCCTCATCATCAGAATCATCATGGATATTTCGCTTTCTTTTTCCTGAGCCAAGAGACACGGTACTTGGAGATGACAATCCAGCATTTGAAGTGGTCTTGGCGAGAAAACTTGATGAACTTGTATCAGCCGAGGCTATTTTGGCACGCTGTCGTTCTAATGCAAGTAGTCTGTTCCGTTCAATTCGCTCTCTGACTTCAGCACTCAGGGTCTGCAAACGAAAATATACATCAAAATACCACTTATGAGATGTAATTTAATCATGATAAATATTGCTGCTTGCAACATCATGAAATATTTTGGGCAAAAATGCACCGACATTAAATCAATGCATACATAAATTTAATACAAATCTCTACTTCCAATGTAGCTTTTTTATAAAAAATAATGCTAAACCCATGTAGTAAAATTATATTTAGGACTTGAGCTCACCACGGGCTGAGAGATCGGCACAGAAGGCTGAGAACTTGAACTGTTTTGGGCGACTCTCTCTTGGAGAGACAGAGAGGCACCAGACTGGCGCAGTAGCTCGTCAAACACGTCGGGCTCGTCATCCTCAGCAGTTACCAAATTATCACCGACGCGTTCAACGTCGTCTACAACTTCACCTGCCTCAGCATCCTCTTTTGGAGTTTCGTACATGTCCATGCGCAATCGCTTCACATTAACCTGGATATGATAAGGAAAAGTAAATGGCACACAAAATAATAGTATCATACTGATCAAATATGCACTGCTCGGCTGGACACAATGTTTAACTAATGAATCATGATTAATAGTATGGTTCAGAAAGAAAATGTATAATCAGTTGAATCTTCTAAAAATTGGTATGACAAAGAGAAAACTAATAAGCAAGTACTTGGGGATTGGTAAGATTAATTAATTTTGGCCATGAGTAAAATAAAAATTGTTGAGACATTAGTAATGCTGCCATTAGATCGAAACTCACTTGCACTGGTTTTTTATTACCAAGTTTTTCAATTTGTGCAATAGTGTCAGCGAAAGGCAATTTAGGGTACAATCTATGAGCCCAGTGCTTGAGCTTCTGCAGGAGAATACCAAGGTCTTCAGTTTCATAGCCTTTGCCACGGTAAGGAGCGTTGGAGAGGAACTTCTGCACCACACCAATACCCCGAGGTCCACATAATCTGTGAGGAAAGTCATATTAAAAAGCAAATTCTAAAAGTAACTTAGCTAAAATCTCTCATCTTCTTATAAAAATCAAAATGCTAAGAACTTTGGCATTTAGGATTCAGAAAATTATGGAATCATTATACCGATTATTATTGAAATGAAGCTAATCACTAGTAAATTTAATGAAGGAATGTAACAACTGATGATGTTCTTGCATTTAGATACACCATGCTTAGCACCCTTTTATTTTCAATAACAGAACATTTGGAAACATTGAATGTGGCTATCCAATAAATTACATATCACTTTAATTAATTTACTAAAACTTAGCACTGCTTAGTTATATATTGCAAGATATTTAATGTGGTTTGGCACAAGATAATAATTTTCTTAATAACAAAATTGAACATTTTTGAAGGACTAAATTTTGAAAAATTTACCATCTATAAGGTATTCATATTATCAAAAATTAAAACTATACTTAATATTAACCATTTATGTTGACAAGAATGCTTCCTCTGCCAATTTTTGGAACACTCTAGACTGGAGTTCATAAGGGTTATCAATAGAGAAAACAGAGCTAATCAATTACAATAGAGTTCAGCAAAAAAAAATTTGTCCAAATTAAATGAACACTCGTACAAGATATCATTTTTTAAATAACAATATAACAAGTATGATCATTGTTTTCTAACCAGTAATATATTATCATTGAAAGATGCCTTGTCGAGACCCTTGGTGATTATATATATACCACAACAAAAACTCAGAAATCAGTATAAGCAGTCCAAAAACAATCGCACCCTGTCCAAGCAAGTATATATTAGTTGATGAATTAATAAATTTGCAAATTATATTTTTTATATGCCTATGAAATGAACCAGTAAGAACTCTTTATTTGGTCAACAGCTTATTAAAAAATATTTGCTTGTGTTCAAAATACTTAATACAGAAATCATATACCTGGCAGCATCAAACTTTGGCTGGGGGTTCTTGACAATCCGCTTAGGTTTGATTACTTTGGCAGCATCTGAAAATTTATATAGTATTTCATTAACAATTACATGTATATAATTGACATACCTAATATATGAATATCATCCTTGTTCACATCAATATTGAGGAACATCACAATTGTGATTCATTTATTCTAATTAATTAAATTAATCTAAATCACTTTCTTGGTTTCAAATTTCTGCCAGGACAATGAGAATATATAATAGCATTCGCAAGCATTTATAAACTGATAAATTATGAGAAAAATTGACAAACCCGTTTGAAGTGTTTACCAATTGTGAGCCTATCATTATAACATTTCCTCATGAATTTTCAGGCTTGGACAGTTTGTTACTTTTAACTAGCAGAAATGAAAGAATAAAATGTATATTTGGCACAGCATGCCAAGTATCCTACAAAACTTTAAATCATGTTGAATATCATTTTCAGCCTATATAAACCTATACATTCAAGAACATATCAGTTTACAGATATAACAAAAAAGATTACTCTCTACATATTCATTGTCTTAAGTTAAGACACATTCACAATGACCATTGACCAAATGATATAGCTACTACGGTAATCTCATTGACAAATTTAGGGCTTTTCTGAAAAAGACACTACAACATACACAGAACTACACATCTACATCTATTCATTTACTACTTTGATAAGTTCTCGAAATTTAGAATTATCTACAGCATGTTGACATTGAAATACCTAGCAGCCACATTGAAAACCTGATCTCTGAAATTTAGGCTTCTACTTCCAGAATTTGAAAAAAAAAGAACAATTGATAATTAAAACACTTACTAGCGTCAGCTGCATCATCAGGATTTGTTGGCTTTGAAGCTCTCTCTCCTTCTGGAACATCATCATCATAATCTTCTTCAGACCCTGAGTTGGGCGCTGAAAAAACTTCTGCTTCTCTGAGCCCAAACATCTCTTCTTCATCGTGTTGGTTAATCAACGCCATTTTTTACTCCTCTGAAAATAGATTAATAAGTTAAGAACAAAGATAAAAATTACAATCTAAATGCGAGAAATACTGCTATAATGCATTCTCGTCATCAACAGTATTTTAACAGCTATTCCAAGAATTCAAGGAATCCTACTCGAGCATTTCGCCAACTACCTACCTATTTACAGCTCCACGGTCCACCCCGCCACAAAATCAAGTTAGTGATGGAAACATTATGGTAGCAGTGAACGATGTACTTATCTTCAACGATGCATAAAAATGAGTCAATTGCATGAGCAAGAGTATTTTTGTTCAGAATATGTGCATTTTCCGTACCGTTAATGTATTTGTCCATGGAAGCTAATGACTTATATGCCTAATTTTTCGCATTTGTGTTTGAAAAATAACAATCAACTTGTAAATATATCAGTCATTCTCTTCGCTAATTTAATTTCAATCCATTTAGAAAACTAAAAACCCATATAACATTATTTTATCAACTATTATTTCCCATTAACTGCATAAATTATTCATTTTTGACATAATATTTGTACTAAGAACAACAGATTAACTGCTTAAAATATACCTCCAGCCTATGCCATTTTCGTTCGAGCTTTTATCATTTGAACCCTGTTGCAACACGTTTCAGTGCGCGCAAATTTTCGAATGATTTTTGAATAATACTAGACATCATTGACTTGGAATTTTCATTTTTAACCAGATAGCAACCATAACAACCTTTCCTACTGTGAATATTACGTGAACCGTAAATAAAAGATTATGGATTCACCTTGTCACGGAGGAAAATCCAGCAATGAAAAAGATTCCAAAATCGATTCAGAACGTCCTGTCAAACGAAAAGTAAGTTTTATGTTATATAAGTCATAACGGTCGTTAGAATAGGAGCATTGAAAATGTAACTAAGAAGAAATCAATATGTTTGATGGATTTGTAAATCTTTAAAATCAGAGGTAATCTGATTGCATGACATGATGACAGTGATGGATACTAATATAGTAATTTAGGTTAAATCAAATGATGTAATGTTCAGCCTCGGATAATAAGCTCATACCTATATATTCTAACATACTTTTGTGTGTCTTGCAGATGCCTGTTGTTGGCGATTTCAAAGTTCTCAAACCTATCAGTCGAGGTGCTTTTGGGTAAGGAATTTTATTGCAGAAGAAATATATTTTGTTTTAGAATGGAAAAAATGCATTTCGTTACAGAATAGGTAGCTATTAAGTACCTATTTAAACAAAATTTGAATAGGCCTAGGCCGCCTTGTTTTATTGTTATTTTGAAAATTCAATTGCACCGCAGTCGCCACACATGAATCGTAACTCACAAGGCCGTAACAAAAGTACCATCAATGGAACTTGAAAGATCACAGAAATAGAGTGTTGCCACTTGCCAGCCAGGCAGCTTCTGATAGAAATAATATATTTTTTATAAATATATAACCAGGATTGTTTATTAAGATCTCAATTCACATGTGTTGATAGAACCTTGTGGTATAAAATATTGAAAATCATCAAAACAATAGGCCTATTCTAACTTCTAAGCTAGTTAGATCTGAAACTGGCCTCACAAGTCACAAACAAAAACAAAAACTGATCAAATATTCAACTATTGATTAGATTTATGATAGCCAGTGTTAATATTTTTATATCATTTATTCGTTATTAATGCCTAGTTAAGCTACTTTGTTGTATGGAAATTCATTGTCATATTATTTGCCTCCCCAAAGGACTGTGTACATTGGCCACAGGAGAGACAATCCAGATCGCCTGTATGCAATCAAAGTGGTCAAGAAGTCTGATATCATCCACAAAAACATGGTTCATCAGAGTAAGTTTAATTTAGAAGGAAGAATAATTAATGGAATTCTGATGAATGTATATTTTGAAAGTGATGGAACAATCTCTTTCATTATGAAGTTTTGCAAATTGATTGATTGACCTGGTTTTTTTTTGTAATTGTAGGTTGAATCATTATTTTATGATATAGGTAGTTCAATCTTCAAGATAATAAATATTCCTTTTCAATTATGATATTTGCAGCTTGAAGTTGAAGCCTTGAAGGAAAGATCTTGTTTGATGAACCCCCCTTATCCCTGAGTTTGAAAGCAATGGTTTTTATCATTTCTTCATAATGTTGCTTAATGAACAAAGCATCTAAGTAACTAGACTTACTGGACCATTACTTATACTTATAAGTTACCAGAAGAACTACAAGAGCATCATCCTTATTAGTTGCTAGAAATAACTTATTATGTTGGACAAATTTGCTGCTCCCATCAACTCTTCCCACACCTTTGAATGCATAGCTTCTTTTTAATTATACTTCTTTACCCATAATTTCTTGCGGAAATCATATATATAAACTTCTATTTTCTGTGCAGTGATCACAGAAAGAGATGCATTGGCACACATCAGAAGTCCATTCTGTGTGCAGCTCTACTATTCTCTTCAAGACGCAACCAGAGTCTTCCTTGTGAGTGTTCATCTCAAAATTGCCTCAAATTGATTTCCCATTGTTATCTCAACTGTCTGTGATTAATTATGAAGAAAATCATATTTTCATTAAGTTAAATTTTTGTCTACTTGGCTAATTGCTGCCCTTTTACAATTAAATATTTTCAGTTGGGTAATGAGTAAAAATAAAACAATATTAGCCAATAGTCGTAAATTCTATTTATATAACTACAATTGACCTTTTTTCCTCATTTTTCTCTGATTCAATTATTGTTGTCATTTTGAACAAGTTTTTTCAAATATTCCTTGACTTGATTTGGTACAAAAAAAAAAAAAAGAATAAAAGTTCTTCAATGAAAAAAATCACCTGGTCATGTTAATTACCACGTGGTAAAAAGATACTACTTTGAAAGTTCTTCAATGAAAAAAAAATCACCTGGTCATGTTAATTACCACGTGGTAAAAACATACTACTTTGAAAGTTCTTCAATGAAAAAAATCACCTNGCACTTGCTCTTGATTACCTGCGCAGGTGGAACCACGGCTCTACCACTAGCACTTGCTCTTGATTACCTGCACAGGTGGAACCACGGCTCTACCACTAGCACTTGCTCTTGATTACCTGCACAGGTGGGGCCTCGGCTCTACCACTAGCATTTGCTCTTGACTAACCGCATATGTGAGGCTTTTGACTTGACCATTACCAACTGAACCTTTTCTGAAGTGGCCAAAGTATCATTTTGTTGCCATTCTTTAATCATCAATATTGAGGCCAGTAGTGTAAATCAACATTCTCAATGCTTAATAATAGTTCATAAATTAGGGAAATCAAACCACCACGATAGTTAAAAATTTGCCAATATTAGGCCGGGCAGATCTTGCATGACTCAAGTGCATCACCAATTCTACATGCAATTATTATCTTGAACACTTGTCAGCAAAGTTGGCAAATATTGCAGCATATTGAAAAGACTTGTTAGTTTTGGATTTTTAATTGAAAAGAATTACTTTCTATAATAATGATATCCAATGCCAAAGAATTATGTTCTTCCTTTCAGATAAATTTGTATGTTCTATTAATTGTATAATTATGTTGTTGTTAAGCATAACCCATTCCATAACCCAAAATAAGATCGTTTAAAATTGGTAAATTCTTAGATAATCTTGTTACGAAGTTAAATCGCGACTTCAATCTCTTGAACCCAAGCCTTGTTTCCCAGACACGGTATTGTGCATCGTGATGTCAAGCCTGACAACCTCCTCCTGGACAACAAAGGACATTTGAAGCTCACAGATTTTGGCTTGAGCAAAATTATCCTTGCCAGTGGTATGTGCTTCTGAACATTAATTCTTGGAATAAATTGATTCTTTCCAAATCATCGTAAAGGCTGTTGATAATTTTTCAAAAAGAGTTTTTAAATTTTGATAATTTATGATGTATGAATTAATTTAGGAATTTATGCTTTATGAATCAAAAAGAAACTTTTTTATTTTTTACAAAAATCATCAAAGTTTTCACTTTCTTACTGTGATTTCTCATCATCGCTGCCTGTAATTTAATTCCTCAGGATTCCTGATTTTATTAAAATGCTAAGCAGCAGAAGCCATTAACTTCGTCTATACCTTATTGTTTGTGTGGTATACCAGCAATTTTTGTTTGTTCTAATGCTTAATCATGACATTGTACAGAGGAGCAGCTGGAAAAGTTGACAAACTTCACCCCAAACCCCGCATCTCGGGGCGCCAACGCTGCCCGCTACGCTAGAACCCCCGGCCAGATCCTCTCCCTCACCTCCCATCTCTCCTTCGTCAGTACTCCTCATTATATTAAAGCAACACTAAGAAAGACTCAGTTATTATCAAATTATGAAATTTAAACATTTTCATAACAAGGAATATAAACTACCGAAATTTAAAGGATCTGATTTATTAGTAAATTAAAGTGGTTGATCTCATACAAATAGTAATTGATTAATTTACTTCATGTTGCATATATGCCGCAATCTAATGTTGCTGCCAGCTGGCGCACTAAATGATTAACTGCCATACTCTTATTTCATTATAGCAAAGTTAGCAGTTCTCGGGCCATAAGAATTTATTTGTGCAGAACTCGACCGTCACCAGTCCAGCGTTGACGACGCCGGGCTCGGAGCGTCACACGACCGTCCTCGCCGCTCGCCAGGCTGGCTCTGCAGACGCAACTTCAGCAGACAACCTCACGGCGACACCGCTCACAGCGATACACGACAAAGGTGTGCTCTTCTCTAACTATATTTTGCCGCAAATTAAACGTATATATAATTTTACCTCAAAAGCGCATCCGCGTCACCAGATGTCAAAGTTTACCTGAAAAAGATGATAAGCTTTCAAATTTTATCTGATCAGTTCATCTTCAGTTTATTGGGCATAGAGTTATTATATCACTCAGTTTCCATCTGAAAATTTATCTGCCAGATCATTCAATTCAGTGCCAAATTTTTTAGAATTTTTTTAATTTTGATATTGTGGCATTGACATCTGAGGATTCTACAATATTTCCTCTAAGCCCGCATGGACAAAAATTTATAATATCCTGTGACGCCAGTAATGACGTCAGCTGGAGTTAGCAAAATCCACTAACCTAACCTCATTGAACCAATGTAAACTAAAAAAAACATGTATTTTTTTGCCAGCTATTATAGGAGAAATACTAGAAAGTCTGAAAAAGTTCTAGTCTAATAACTTTGAACACAGATCTGTCATGGATGTATATTCTATTTTCCTTTACCATGAATGCTCAGCTGTCTTCTATTGTTGCAGATAAAACTCTTGTGAAGCGTCACGTCTTTTCAGCGGTTTCTGAGTCTGTTGACGCCATTTCTTCTCGAGGTAGCAATTGGGAGAAATATCTCTTCTGCAATTCATTTTCATACTCAAATCTCTGTTTTTTTGTGTGCTTGCTTTTAATTGCTGCTTTTAAAGATTTTGAATTCTTGTTTCTCTATTGTAATTAATTTATTACTTCTGGTACCACAAATAGCTTTGAGATTTATTGTTTTTTTTGTTAGTATGAAAATCATTTAATTAATTTTTCCTTCTATTTATCATGGAATTCATGCCCTTCACCTAGAAACACCCACATCGTTCGAAGGCTCAGTGCTGCGTGCGTCGCAGTCCTTGGCGATGACTCAGCGCCGTGCAGCTCTGGACCTCGGCGAGAGTCCCGTGACGGCAGCAGCCCAAGAAACTCGCCCTCAGCACCAGGGCTCGCTCCTTAACGCGTCCTGCCACACAGCAGCAAGCAACGTCCGAGACCTCATCTGTGGAGACGCCAGCAGCACGCTCTGTGACACTCTCATGGAGTCAGAAGTGTCGTGTGTCGCTACTGAGGACGCGCAAGTGCTCAGTGACGGCAAGAAACACTTAGAAATAGTTGATATAACCAAAGAGGACAGAAAAGTTTCCTGTGAAGCCAAAGAAAATGTTGACCCTTGCAACGAATCTTCAATTATGAGCCGACAAAATGACTTTTCCAATGAACATTCATCTGAGCCCTCGACAGTCGTAAATGTTTGGGATCCAACAAGAAATGTGTTTGATTTTACAGAGCCAAACAATGTGATGTGCGTTGACATTCGTAATTCTCCAGTACAAAATGATGAATCCACCGAAACCTCTGCTGCAGACGCACCAAAACCGCCATCAGAGGACGCTTCAAAAACCGGTAGTTCTCCCGATAAGTCGGACGATTTTGAGTGTCCTGCAACTAATTCCACAGCCGTTGATGATGCCGAACCATGCCCAGGTTTTGTGCCCTCAAAAATACATCCACGTTTGCGAGTTCTATCGCGACTGACCGACAACGTATCACCGGTGGGCCGAGCCTTCCATGCAAATGTTGATATTAGTTCAGGTATTACGACGAGCTCGCCGATCTTGCAGAACAAGTTTTTGCAGAAGCTTCGTGATGGTGGCTTAAAAACAAGCTCTCCGATACCCAGTCAGACTCTTGCAGAAAGCAGCACTCCGCTGTCTTGCTCGGTAGCCTCTCACAAGACTGGTGATAGCGGTATTGTTGTGTCTGCAATTGAAGGCAATCATAATTTCAACTCAAACCTATTCAAGGACATCTCGACCATCGAGAAGAGAGAAGAATCTAACGTCAGTTTGATGATGGAGCAAGAAAATCATCCTGCGGTCGCCCAATGCATTGGTAGTGAATGTCTTTCCTTGGAGCAAGATAATAGACAGAATCACCCAGATAGGACCAAAGAATTTTTGGAGAACCAGTGCGACGGTCAGAATTCTGGAATTTCGCCTGAAAAGGCAGTTGAAGCCGAAGCCTCTAAGGATGTTTTTAAAACCCCATGTATTGTTATCCGAGGGCGTAAGCGCTGCATTTCAACCAATAATAATCAAAGTAAGTGCTTTCCTCCGGCTAAAAAAGCGAATTGTGTACTTTTTGATGCTCAGACACAAGTTCTTAGTGACGCATCTCATGCCCAAAACTTTCCAAACAGTTCTTCGAAGTTAACACCGCGCTCGGAAGAAAATTCAACCAACTTGCTCAAATGTGATCCTATGATGGAGGGTTTGAAAGAAAGTAAAATTCAGCCCTCGCATATTTCGCCCGCTCAAACTGGCCTAACGGGCGTATTTAGTGCGGCAAACCTTGATACATCGTCCAACTCGTCAAGAAATGTGAAGCTTGACTGTGAACCTACGATCTCAGGCTGCGTTAGCATAGAGCAACAAACACTAGACTCTTCGTCTAATAATATTTCCTCTGACTTGATGAAGGCTACTGAGACTATCAATTCTCTATCAACTCCTGCTGTTGAAACTGGAAATACTTCTCAGACTCCCGTGAACCAAAGCAAAATGATGCCAATGAATGTGACGCCCATGGAAGGAAGCGGCAAGGAAGATGATCAAATGCAATGTGATGATCTGAACGCGTTACTACATTCACTTACGCCACAGGGGCGTGCCGAAGAACGGACTCACAGTCTCGATGATGGTTCGGGCGCGCTGAAATGTTCAGCGAGTTTAGAGTCTTGCGATGCCACGAGTCCTGTGGCGAGACCGCTTCGTTTTGGGAGAGTCAGGTCATGGTGAGATCATAGTTTAATTGTGACTTGAAAATAGTAATAATGAAAATAGTAATACATTTTTTTAAATAGATCATCTTAGATTAAGGAAATTGGTGTTCATGTGCACAATAGTGATATTGTTTAAAATTTTATTTTGAACCCAATATGCAGGTATTGATCTTTCATAATAATCTCGCAAATGTCAAGCTTTATCTTGCAATTTCTCTATTTTATTTTGAGCTTAGATTTACTTCGGCTGTCAAATCACGAGGTGAATTTATAATCTAAGGTAGTTGTTCAAGTCTAAACTGTCACTCTATTTCAGGAGCAAACTTCTCAGTCAAGAAGAAGACGAGCCAAAGATCAAGCATTGCTTCAGCGAGCCAAAAACCACGAAGCCAACTGCGGCATTCCGCCTTCGGGAGGCGGAGCTTTATCCTTCGCTAGCTATTACGAGCAACTCTGCCGGGGCGGCATTTGCCTCAAATCCAAACGTGCCTTCTTCAGGTACCGGAGGATCTACACAAGCCGCTGCATCAGAAAATGTAGAGGATGTGCCCGTTGGGCAGAGATTTAATACGGGATCTATTGTTGATGGGGAGTGCACCACTGCCGTCCCCGCGACCGCGTCCGACGACGAAGTATTCTTTGCCGATACAGAGGCCGCAAATGTGACGCGGGTGTCCCGCAAGTCCATCGCTGCTCTTGCAGACAAAGAAGTTCGTTGCCTACCAATGTGACTACATTTTATCAATTTAACATAGTTTTCTCTAAGTGTAATAATCATAGATGTTGAAATAGTTTTCTAAGTGTATTAATTGCATGTCGTGTGCTTTTATAAGTATCGCTTCTATTTCGGATCACATAATTTTTCATACTGTTGATCTCCAGTTTTATTTCTCAAACTATCTTGGAATGTGCATATCAATAGGCTTTAATAAGTTACTAATACCGAAACGAAATCGTAACTTTCAGTTATAATTCTGAACACTATTCCCTTGAATGTTCGGTCCTGAAAATGGATGCGATCTGCTGTGTATTTAAATAGTTTTTAATCACACGAATATAAAATTTTTGTTAATTGCACTACGAGATATACAAATCAAGCCTAAATGTATCAGAAATGCATAGACAAAAAGTCATTTCCTTTCAGTTTAGCTGAGCTTGTTTGCTTGAATTTATTGCTTGTAATCATTGGTTTATTCCTACTGAGAGTAATTGTGTACAGGTGGTGCGCTGGTACAGTGAGAGCGATCTGCCTCTGGACGTGACTTGCGTGAACAGCTCCCACGTGCACGTCTCTGGAACGACGTGTGATGTCACCGCCGTCAACACCAGCACCGCCGCCACCTCCGTCATCTCACAGCCCTTCCACAGCTTCCACACTCCTGCCAGAAATGTTAGGGTCGCCCTAAGTTTTGTTAAACTCCTAAAATAACTCCCCTGATAATATTGTTTACATGCACATTCACTGCTAGTGAATGATATCTACCACCACCAAAAAAAAGCATCTCAGTTCCAATTCCTTCCTTCCGAGCACCTTCCGCTGCTATCATACAACCTGAAATATAATCAGATCAGAAACAATCAGAAATAAAGTTTTTGTCCATATTTCTTCGCTCCCGAGTAAGCTTTCTATCACCACTTAGTCCGTGTCTTCCAGTTTCCATGTTCCTGCCAGAATTCTTCACAGTCTTGCTATCATCTTCAGTAATTACGGCCTTAAATTGTCTATTGAGCGAGACTCGGTTACTTCGTGCGTTCCACACGCTGCTTTCACAGTTTATTCCACGGCTTCTATGCTCCCAATGCAAGTGCTAGCCTTCCTTTCCTTAGCCTTAACTCCTGAAAAATTAAAATTAAGCGCAAATGTGGTCTCGTTCCTGAGTTTGTCTATTTTCTTACATACGTGCAGCGTCTTTATTTTGGAAATGGGTTCTTAGTTCCTGTTATTATTCATGATTCTTGCAATTGAGTTGGTGAGACATACGTATGTTTCTGGAAGATCTCATTTAATTTTAATAACTTTTGTCTTCATTTTAATGTCTGCCATCAAGCCATTTGTAGTATTGTATGCCACTCGAGCCCTAAAGCTCTTCAAGCAGTGTTGCACAAATTTGATCAGACACTCGTTCAAATGTACTGTGAAGTTTACATTTCTGGGTTCAGCGATATTTCGCACTAATGCATTATTCATTTTGTTACAGATTATGAACTCAGTTGTAATAAATATTAAAATTTGCAATCTCGCCGACGTTGATGTGTATTACGATGTCTTCAGGTGAGCTGTACGGACCTGCATCGAACGCCGCCATGCCTTGCTGGAGGCCCCACGCCCCGCCGGCCCCCCAAGAGCGTCAGGAGAGGCAGGGCTCCTCAAGACATCCCTCCTGGGGAGATCAAACCTGAAGACCGCATCTTAGGCACTCCTGACTACCTCGCTCCTGAGATCCTCCTCAGGCTGGCACATGGTGCTTAAATTTGTGACAAAACTAATCAATTAATCGGCACACAAAGTTAGTAATTTCGAAAAATTAATTTCGATGTTCAATTTGCCGAAATTCAATTAATATCAAAATAAATCCCTGAAAAGTGGATTTGCTATTCTTTCGTTACACGTTATTCACATTATACAAGCATTCGACTCGCGACGAATCATCCATACATTCCATGCCTATTGCTGACCAGCTGCAGTGAATTGTTCAGTTAGATTTCTCAGTGTAAAATCATTTAATGTTTAGTTGGACAAGAGCTGCGAACCTGCACTTGAAAGCTTCAATATTAATGTTACACGTGCAGTTTACGCGATCGAAGTTTGCACTGTAGTACAAAAGCTGTCACTAGTGCTTTTATTTTAATAAAGTTTTTGTTCGCCTGGAATCACCACAAAATTCATAGATTATTTTTGTCCAGTTACGTATTTCTTGAAATCGCTTGCAGAACAAATTACGATCGTCATGACTACTCGTTGCTTTGTTGTTAATGTTTCAAGTATTTCTCTAATATTTTAAAAAAGTGATAATCTCGCCTCATAACAACGAAAGCGTAACCTGAATACTTGGTTTCGGTTATTCAAATCTAGACGCTGGATTTGACATTGATAACTGTTTACACAGGCCCCAAAGTGGACTGGTGGGCTGTTGGAGTTTGCCTGTTTGAATTCCTGACGGGTTTACCGCCCTTCAACGACGAAAACCCAAAGCTAATCTTCCACAACATCCTCAACAGAGGTCAGGGTTTTTTGACCTTTCTAATTTAGCGATATTCGTTTCTGTACTCGACGTATCTTGTATAATCTACCTGTTAATACTTGCATAGGTACATTTTTTTCCTCGTATATACTTTTAAACTCAAACCATTAAAGATTTGCAATCACATTAGCTATGAATTGCTGTAGAGCTTCCTCCCAAACCTTCATCGTGAGAAGTTGGTGTTAACATCGGTCAATCATTGACCATGTATTGACTGTCCCATATTCCTTCCTCAAGTGGACTCGTAGTGAAATATTTGATGTAATTTCAGGACAACGTTGATTCAAATCAATAACAACTTCCTAACGGGAATTTGCTGTGACAACGTAGATAGTGTATCTACATAACCTCATCCTAGCGTAAAAGTATTGTCACTTTGTGCTTATGTCTATGTCAGCGCTACGGTATGTACACTTTACTTAAAATTCATAACTATTGAATACTTTTTTGCGACATTGAATTGTTAATGTTTACGACGACGTTGTAATTTGTATGATTAACTAACTAGTTTATATCTTCTCAACGTAACAATAGTAACAGCAAATTTTAATGTTGATTTGCTACAGACATCATGTGGCCGAGTGACCACGAGAGCTTGTCACCAGAAGCCATGCACGCCATAGACCGCCTGCTGGCATATGAGCCTCAGCAGCGCGCCACGCTCGAGGACCTCAAGAAGATGTCCCTCTTCAGCCACATCTCGTGGCACAACCTCCACGAGCAACCCGCGCCCTTTGTGCCCCAAGTAGAAAATGCCCTCGACACTTTCTACTTCTCTGGTAAGTGTGCCACAGTCAATGAATATTTTAGTAGTATATAAGTTTTAACTCTTCACCCTGTTTCCATTTTTAATTTTTGTCGTATAGTTGACTTTGTTTATCTCTACAGCTCGCAATGCCGCTCAAGACTTGGACGTTGCAGCGATGGAGGAGTTTTAGCTCTTCTGCCACAACGCCTCGATTTGCCTATGAATATTTCACTGCGTAGACTCCTTTTAAGCGCTTGTAGAACTATTTTAGTGCCCACATCTTGTCTCTGAAGTACAATATATTCTATTTTCATCTGACTAATTTTCAATTTATTGCTCACATCTGGGTTAATGCGTTTGTGCTCCATTTTGGGCCCGCATCGACCATTTGTTATGAAGCACTACGGGTGGGGACCTAAGAAGCTAACAGCTTTTTTTGTAACTAGAAATTATTTTATTAAATTTTTGTGTTAAAGTTCTATCATTATCTGTACGCGTTATTGTGCTGTATTGTGTCAGCAGCACTTTCTGCTTTGTTGAAACAGTTTTAATTCATATGAATTCGTTCCTGATTCGTTCAAAAATTCGTAAACATTTCTATGTGATCATCAACGTTGTTTTATATTGAAGTTTGTGGATCTGATTTTCCAAATCAATGAACTAGTACGGAAATGTGCCAGGCTGATATGAAGCTCTCTTCTTATAAACGTATTTATCAAAATTCAAAGAAGTTAGTGGATATGATCGCAGCTAAAAAGCTAAAAATTGGTTTTTACTTCAGTTTGAATGCGTTTATCTATGTAAAGGAATGTGAAATGTAGGTCAACTGTGTTTTTATTCTCCATTAACATCGAAAAATTCATTTTATTCTCTTGCTAATTATGCTCGTACCATACACTCGATATTATGAGGGCATTTCAGAGTAAAATTGTTCTTTTGTCTATCTTTTCAAATAACCTGCCGTTTTATTTGCGGTTTCCTCATCTTGAGCATCGGTGGCTTTTTTTCGCTGAACATGTCGGTTATTTCTTGCATCGGTTTGCCCTTGGTTTCTCTGACGACGAAGAGCGAAAAGAGAAATCCCACTAAGCAGACTCCTCCACAACCGAAGTACACGCCGCTGTCACCGATGCTGTTCTGCAACGAAAAAAAAAACAGTTCAGTGTCAACATCCTAATTTTTGATGAGCTGTTGTGAAATCTTTTTCGTATGACACTTCTCAAAAATTTATACTTGAAACTCCGAGTTTTAGAAAATGTTATACATATTAGACCTTGGTCTTAAAATTCACCCGATGTGTCATTCGTTGATGGGCAAAATTCGTAATAATAATAGCGATTTCAGCGTTTATTAGGCCATAGGCCTGTCGCCGATTCTTAACATCGCCGAACATCCACAGCTTGTTGCGATCTCGAACTCACAACTCACTGATTCAAATTCTGCTGTGCTTAACCGCCCGGCCTCCTGTACGATTCTGACCAGAAACTGGCGCACAGAGCTGGGATCGAACCCGCGCCTCTCTGCTCCAATCTTGGTACTCTGAACTGTAACCACTGGGCCACCCTGCCCTGTAACCACTGGGCACTTGTGACCTCAAACCCAGACGCACCAGACTTAAGAGTTTGTAGTCCGTGAGCTTGGTGAAGCCACCTGGACATTTCATGCGAGATCGCAGTACTAACCCTGAGTGGCCTGAAGATGAGAGTGGTTGTGAAGCTATGCAGCCACAGCGACACCGTGGCTACACTGGCTGCTGCTTCCCGAACCTCCAACGGGAAAACCTCGCCTGAGTGACAATGATTCCCTTGGCTTCAAAATTATCATGAAATTTTATTCAAATAAATTTAAGGTAGGTTTGGATTTTATACCTGTGATTGGATACTCTACGCCACACATTTAAGAGTGTAACCTGCGTATCATTTTACAGGTTACCATCCTCTGTTGGTGAAGATTGTAAATGAGACTCGAGTATTTAGTAAGAAAATGCAAAAAAGTTGCACTACGTTCCCTATCTAAACTTACGTGATGTAAACTAAGATACTATATCTTATCTATTTATTAAATAGGGTAAGAGTTTACAATGTCAATGCAATTAGTAAAGCTAAAGGTGCTTATACACGGGGCTAGTAGTTGCGAATATTGGTTGCGTCTACTACAGTTTTGCAGGCTGAGAGCCTATAGCCCTATACACGAGTATACGTAGTGTTGTCGGTACACTGCGGCGGACTGCGCTCGCGTCAGTGCGACGTTGGGAGTTGTCGAGTGAGGGTGTGCACTGTGGAGTCATGCGAGAGCAAGACAGCAGTGCGTGCTACAGTGGGCGTGAGAGAGCGACGCAACTATGCTCGGTATGACGGCCGGGCGGCTACTGAGCGCAATAGAATAGACTGCTTCAAAACAACTCTAGTTGTCTTGTCTTGCCTGCAATGAACCAGCTAGTTGCCTCTGAACACGTCAGGCATCACACATTTTTGTAGCCTGGCCTAGTAGACGCAACCAATATACGCAACTAATAATTGTTGCGTAAATTAATTACACTATAAATAATTGAATAACAGTACTATTAGTCGATCAATTCCCCAGTGCGGATTTCACCTATCCTACCGAGGTTTGCTGGAACGCAACACCCACAATAGGTGAGGGATTACTGTATCTGGTAAATTCAGGCTCTCACCGAGCATCACACAAGGGACTGGACCAAAGCCGATACTGAAGAAGATGACATAGACGACAAGGGACGCTAGCGGCAGCCACCACAGGAAAGTCACATCCCGAGCCTGTTCCAATCGCTGGAAGTATGTGCCAATGCCGACTGCAAGCGCCACGTGGCGGAGAGAAACGCCAACCAATCATTCGATCATAATATTATGGGTTTCTTAAATATACATATGCATGAGTAAGGTATAGTGCAAAGGTATTGCTTAATTTCGCACATACACGCGGGATAATAATTAACGGACAGCTTGCCGTCGATCGCTTGGCATTAGGTGCGATTAGTATGTTATTGAAATTTCACGAGAAACATCACTCAATGTAGAACTTGATCAAAAGCCTATTATAGTTGCATTCTCAATTAAAAAGTCTTTGACAATATTAATAATAGTTACTCGAGTTGTTATTTACATACACCTTTTATTACTCTGAAGTTGTTCATCATCAAGTATTCAATTACGATCGATAATTTAGTATAGTATTGTCCCACAAAAGATTCTACGCGTGGTATCATGACTCACAGAGGGCGGTTGCCATGACAACAGATGATGCCAGCAATAAGGTCTTGCGCCCCAGCCTGTCCATGAGTAGCCCTCCTGCTGCAGTGGCCAACACCTAGACGAGTCGCACACGAGTACAGTGAACAGGGAAGACATTGGTGTTCTCAAATGAATACGTTTTAAATATTCAAGCACTCGCAATCCCATAAAAATTACGCGTACTTACGATTTCCCAATCAGAGTGATATATTCATGCCCAATTCTCTCTTGTACCTCACTATCCAGAAGTCTCCTACACTCATCATCTTCATTATATCTTTCTCTTTCATATGGATTAAATACATATTACGCTCCACAATTAGTAGTTGCTCCGATCATTCGAACATTGGGAAATCTTATATCCTCCGGTTCAACTTGCACGACATTGGCCCGTATGCTAAATAGGGCACTAGCACTACGAAGTAGCACTATGCACTACGAAGTGTCCTGTTGGTATGCTAAATGCGTCACAGACACTAAGCACTTCGAAGTAGCTCTACAATGTTTAGTGTCGCTTAGTGTCGCACTACTGATTCGTATGCAGAAAGACTTTGAAATGCTACTTCGCTATTAGAGTACTTCATAGTGCCGCACTACGCTATGAGTCTATTGAAGAATGGTAGTTAAGTGTTCAAATAGTTAATTATTCCCTAATTAATTCTCATTCTTTGCAGAAGATTGATGTAAAATGTCTAATTGTGATGGTATATAATGGTACTATTGAAAATTGTAATGGTGAGCTGAAATTCGCAATGCGTCTGCGCACCTTTCCCATCATATATTCAAAGGCCACGCTTCCCAAAGACATCGAACAAAAGAGAGAAGCATGGAAAGTTCTTGCAGAAGAATTCAAAATGGCTCTAGAAAAAAAAATTCAAAACATGGTATCAAAAACAAGAAAAGTATTTTCTACTTCTACGCTGTTCATCTGTTTCGCCAAGGAAAATGTCAGCCATAAGAATAACATAAGAATAACATGTTTTTCACTGAAGCGGTACACTTTTTTATATTCATGGCATGTAGTTCCTGAGGTTTTTGCGCGATGATGCCTTTGCTGTAAGCCAAACAGATCCATAGCTGACGAAGTAAACAAGGTTAAATATACCGTAGTGTCGTCGTGAAGTGAGGTGTGTAGGACACTTCAGATTTTTGTAATGCGCGTTATGCTTTTGGCCCTATTTAGCATACCAACCGTAGTGTTCCATGCCGCACTATGGCTTGTAGTGCGTGGTGCTACTTCATAGTGCTAGTGCCCTATTTAGCATGCCAACCGTAGTGTTCCATGTCGCACTATAGTAGGCACTACGGCTTGTAGTGCGTAGTGCTACTTCGAAGTGCTAGTGCCCTATTTAGCATACGGGCCAGTCTCTCAGCTTTTCACTCTAATGTCTGGTATGATAACCTCCTCCAGTTTTGGTAATGCCACTAATGGTTGTAAAAATTTCATCATGAATTCCGAGTGATTGGAATCAAGGCTCATATTTTGGTAAACCAATGTGTAACTTTTCTTCTCTATTTCGAAGAGTCTTCTGCTGATGTTCAGTTATTTTTTGCTAAATTAAACTGAGTAAATTGCAAAAAATTACTGCTCGGGCAAGATGTTTCCGTCAGACAAATAATTTGACGGTAAATGAACTCAAAACGTCTTCGCTTTATTGAAAAATGCTTATGTGTCTTGCCTGCATGCCGGAGATAAACATGATCGACGCATCTTCCGACATTTCCACTTGAGCGCTCTGCGAAGTAAAAAATATTTTTTAAGAGATACAGCTACTTTCAAGATTGGCACGGGGCTAATTCGATATGAAAAACTTTTGCTAAATTTCAAATTATCTCTTAGCGGGTAATGAAATATAGATTATAATAGAATTCTGTGTATGTATAACATCATGCACTATTCTAAACGAATGCTTGAGATTTGTGTACATCAGTGATATTCTGACCTCCAATATCGTAAAGAGGTTGAAGAAAACTGCACTGATGCCTGAGTACTGCTGGAAAAACATGAGTCCAAGGGTTATGATGAGGGGTGTGAGGACAGGCCGAGCAGTCATGTCTGTCCACGTCACGTGACTTACTTTGGCCTCCTCCGCTGATCGACGCAGGGCTACCAACTCATCCGTGATATCGTACTTATCACCTGCGTCAATAAAGACACTCCCTTGAAGCTTACATGCAATGCACTCTGGATTGTAGATTGTAACCATGGTTGATTCTGTCTCAAGACATAAAGCTGAATTCCAACTAAAAATCTCATCTGAGTGATCACATATGCAATTCAGTCAAATTTCACTGCATTAGAGTCGAAAAAATGTTGTCTCAAATGTTTTCTTGGATATTTTATAAGAAACATCTCTCGCAATAATTCTCTTTGGGATGTTTGAAAATACCTCTAAAATGCTGAAGGGACTTCTTGGCATCCTGCCGGCGTCCTTTAAGTAAGAGGAATGTGGGTGACTCCTTCTGCAGCAGCATGAGGGCGACGAAGACAAGTGCTGGGACGAGTGAAACAAATGCTAGCGAGTTCCAGCACATCACCGACCCCAAGGAAAGTACGTACAGACCTCCAGCCACCAACGTTACTTCAAACCAGGAGCCTGCCGAGCAACAAGGCCAGGGTGACCCAGTGGTTACAGTTCAGCTGATTTTTAAAATTAGAGCCGTGAGTTGAAAGGTTCGATCTTAGCTACCTGCGACTCTTCTGGTCAAATCAGCCTGTTAGCCGGGCGATCAAATACAACATAATTAAAGAAGTGAGTTGCGTGTTCGAGACCCGCAGTAGGGTGTGAATATTCTGCGATGTTCAGAATCGGCGACAGGTCTAATGACCTATTCAATGCTGACTGCGCTATTCTATGCTATAATATACTATACTTACCATCAGCCACATTCGGGAAGAGAGCGAGTAGAAAGTGGAACGATAACCGTGTAAATCAAAATTACCTCTGAAATAAGTAATTATATTTTCACTTAAATTATCACGAAAGGAAACGACAACCTAGCTAGCAATGATTCAGAGAGACAAGGTCGTGAATCATTTCATTAATAAATTCTACAAACGCACCGTAAAACTTTAAATTTAGATCAAGTTCAACATACCCTTAATATGAATTTTTCAGAAGCCAATCAATAGCAGCCCTGTTTGTCTTTGACGACCAACGTAAGCTCGTTACGTCTGTGGACTAGCGTATTCACCTGTGATGCAAATGTTCTTTACTTTCATCATGTTGGACGTTGAAACTATTAATTTTATCATTTTCATTGGTGCACGATATAACTTGCTAATGTATCAAACCTGCTACTGACAAGTATCGAGTGACTAATAGATTTATTATCAGCGCAACTCTCTAGCTGTACAGCTGTGGGCCGTGTCCACACGAGGCAAGGATGTCTCACATGTGGACACATGAACATCGAAGTATCATGAAGAAAAAACCTGGCTCGTGTTTATCCAGCTGGACAAACTAGAGGCTGACGAAAACATGGAGCTTATATTTTAATACGACCAGATGAAAAACCACGGGTGGTGTTAACTATTTATTTCGGTTATCTTGATACCACCTGATGCGGAACCACGGATGGTGTTATATATTTAGTTTGGTTATCTTAATGCCACCCGATGCCAAACCATGGGGGGTGTTATCTATTTATTTCGGTTATCTTAATACCACCTGATGAGAAACCGAAATAAAATTTAGTTAAGAGTCCTCACCCAGAAATCCCTTGATCTCAGGTGAAGCAATTTCCCCCACGTAAGTCGGCACGGCGATCGACACCAGTCCGCAGCCAACGCCAGTCAATATTCGTCCGCATAATAGCAGAAGAAACACCGGCCCGAAACCTGCAGTAAAAAAGTAACCCACTTATATCTTTAGAGCTTATTACGTTTTAAGTGATATTTGTATTATGTCTAAATACGTACGAACAATTTCCGGGAATTAATCAGATTAGCTATCAGATTGGCTTAGCAGATTACCACGTCAGCCAAAGTCGTAAGCAGCAATCATTAATGGACGATCCACAATTGTTTATGTAATAAGTCAGCTGATATAAGATTCTTCCTTTCAAGCCAACTAGTTATGTCAAATATTCACCTATGAGTCCCCAACCCAGAACGAAAGGCACCGCTGAGAACAACATGGTGCCTCGTCGCCCCCATTTGTTCATGAGATATCCTCCACTTAAAGACCCTATTAGAGCTCCGATGTTCACGGACGAACTGAACGTCGCCAGCTGCATGTCACTGAGCTCAGGATGGCCTGGTACAACGCAGTGCCAGTCGTGAGCCCTCTGCCCTCGGAGAGTAGCGAGGGCAGGGGAGGAGAAACTGAGGGTAGCGCCCAGGGCCAAGCTGCCTACTGCCGCCGAGGCTGTGGCCAGGTACTGCTGCAGGTGGAAAGGCTGAGCTGGTGCCGATGTAACCGTGCATTCCTAAGGAATTTTTGCAAGCATCAGAACAAACACTCTAGTGAAAACGGAAGTTCAATGCTGTACTATGGTTATTATAAGAAATGCATGAAACGCTAAATTTGATGCATTTTTTATTTCTCGAAATTTTTATTTGTAGCACATTAGTGAAAAGAGCCAAGTTTATGAGGCATGAAGTCATAAGTGAACAGGAAATGAAAATAAAATTAAAGATTTTTGAGGTTTTATGTAAAGGCCAAATTTTCAAAGAGTGCGTTCATTATGTTTTGCTTTGAAGTTGAAAATCTGCGACTCCATTATAATGTTGCTCCTAAAAGAGAAGTTGGTAACCTTGATCTTCTCGAAGCTTCAGAATGAAATTTCGGCCCGTTTAACTTTATTGCTAAAGATTATATACAAATAAAGCGATATCCCTTACAATGTACCAGCGCGAGATCTAATATGAGAAATTATTTAAGCAAATTCATCGATAGACTTAAGATTTAGTAATTCTGTACGCAACACGAATAATTGATGGTTTTTGAAAAAAAACGACGCTTTGAGCATTCTACTTTATGTAGGGTCGTAGCAGTCTACGTTATTTCGAGTTGTGGCAGTTAACGTTATTTAATGTGTAGCATTCTATGTTATTTTGAGTTTTAGCAGTCCATGTCATTTCGAGCTGTAGCAGTCTACGACATTTCGAGCGTTGAAGTCTACTACAGTTAGAGCCGTAGCAGTTTACGTCATTTCGAGCTGCAGCAGTCTACGACATTTCGAGCGGTAGCAATCTACGACATTTTACATTAAAATCACATATGAAAACGTGCAGGTCAATAAGATAATCCCTAACTATCTAATAGGTTATAGCTCTGTCAGTCGGCAAAACTCATACAACTTGAAAGCTTTTCAAATAACTTGCCCTTTCAATAAGAAGGACTCTAAATTTCTTGGCGATTTTAAAATTTCCAGTCCAATCTCCTTTTTTGAACTCCTTATGAAAATTGCATTAATTATTAGAAGTTTTCATTAATTATAAGTTTTCACTAATGGTTACTGAGTTGATAACAGACCTGCTGATCGAGAAGCTCGTGGTGTTCCATGACGTATGGAGTTGAAATGAAGAATGTCAAATCCCAGTTAATTTTCTGTTACCAAATTTATCCTGTTGTTCACCCGTTCCAATGGTGTAACTTTGTATATTGTGGATTATGAATTTTATTCTTAGAAACACTTGCTTGTTTCACAACAATCACTCGACGCCAACAGTTAAGCGAGTAATTCTAAACTCATACGGTATGTTCATTAATACAATATTCTTATTTACACAATTATGCCTGTTGTTCAGTCGTTCAAAATGTGAAATTTTGCATAATTTTAAATTTTTTTCCTATTTCGAGCGAATTTCAATGTTGCACAACGATCACTCGACACCAACAGTCGAGGAACACTCTCCAACGCACCGACACCTGTGCACCGCTCGCTGGTAATGGAGACTGGCGAGCTATGCCGCACTCTGTACTCTCTCTACCATGTTATCTACTATTGCATTATCTGTAAAAGTAATGAGTTGATGTTATAAGACATCCATGTGGTTTCATACGGTAGATTTAATGAAGTTGATTAAACTGTAACAATTATTGTACAGTCATGAGTAGATTCAGCCGTCAAAGACTGGCATTTCAATTGCATAAAGTTAACGTTGCGTATAACAAAAAATTGGGAGATAGAGTTAACGACACTACATATTGGTCTGAGTGCCGGAGTCTGCATGACTGCAGCTGAAGGCTGTCTGCCTAAGACTGAGACTCTGCTGGGACTGACTAACAGTGCGCTTTCTCAGCTTATATACGCGGTGACCCACGAGTAGTGACGTCACAGAAGGTGACGTAATAGTCAGTAATGACATCACAACCCTTTCTCAGCTTATATACGCGGTGACCCACGAGTAGTGACGTCACAGAAGGTGACGTAATAGTCAGTAATGACATCACAACCTGACAAATATATGTTTGTGTTTCGATTCACCATCTCATACTTCAGTGATTTTTTATCCTATGCCTGTAGAGTTCAGCCGAAAGGATGCATATTTTATCTAGGACGTGGCATGTCCTATCTGTTAACAAAATTTTAAGTGAAAAGTTTGTGAAAAAGTGTCTGATTTTCCCGAAAGTTCGGAAACCGGATGAACCAATGTCATTAAATCGTTCATTTAATATTATAGCCAACAGCTATTCATCTGTTCTGTTGACGTAGAAAATGCATACTCTTCCTCAGATTGTTTGCATACATGTCGGTTTATCTCATGAGTTTTTTAAGTAACTTTGAGAAAGTAACGAGTAAAGAGTTTGCAATCTTTAAGTAACTTTGAGAAACCTGTGGAAAGATTGCAAACTCTTGTCTGTAACAGACTACAGACAAGACTATGTAAATCACATTTATTATTAACTATAGATTTTTGTACCAATGATTTTTTAATTAATATTATTTTTTAGAGTGTTGTTTTATGCTTGCACCCCAGAATGCAGCGCATCAAACGTGAACCACATGTACGCTCAGCAAGAAGAGTAACGCTCGTAGAAATAAAACTCAGTTGGAAATTAATTGTATATTATCAAGATTATCGATGATAAGATCTTAAATTTTGAATGATATAAGAATTTCTTCTCAACTCCAGTGCACTTGGAGAAGTGATGGTACTGAATTAATTAATATCTTTAACACGATCGTTCCTTTCCACAAACTTCATTTGGTCTTTAATAGGAAATAAAAAATGAGACACAAAGCGCGCTTACATAAAGGGTCGCCAAAGAACTAACAGGAACTACCACCCTCAATGAAAAATTAAAGTTGAATGGAGACCATTACTTCTTTTAACATTGCGGGAAGAGTTGTACAGATTGCAGTTAAATGCTGTACTGTATCGACTGTATTATATCAAATCGACAGTATTCTGACATTCTGTAACAGTAATGCTGATTGCGCTGAGTTTCAACACACCAGCAAACAGCACAACCTAGAACAACAGTCAATTCAAAATACAGCAGTTCAACAGCATCAACACACGGCCGATATTCAGGGACGAACTACAATACAAGGACAACAAGTTATACAATTCATACATAGAACAAGTGGGACGGGCGTTACTTAAAACTAAAATAATAAGCGGATGTATAAAGATTTGAATTATTCCTCGCCATCGTCATCATCTTCGTCGTCTTCGTTATCTTCGTCGTCCTCATCATCCGCGTTATCTTCATCATCATCGTCGGCATTATCTTCATCATCATCATCATCGTCAGCATTATCTTCATCATCATCACCACCATCCTCGTCATCTTCATCGTCAGTATTATCCTCATCATCATCGCCATCTTCATCATCCTCGTCATCTCCATCATTATCAGCATCTTCATCATCCTCATCATCGTCATCATCAGCGTTATCATCACCACCATCATCTTCATCGTCTTCATCGTCATCAGCATTGTCATCATCTTCATCATCCCCATCATCTTCACCATCCTCCCCGCCATCTCCATCATCATCGTCGTCATCCTCATCATCTTCACCATCATCATCTTCATCATTATCACTGAAAAATGAAGTGATATCAACAAGTTATCAAGACAACAATTAAGTATTCATATCAATTTAAATTCACTGCCAAACTCTCGATATATAATTATGGCTCAAAATCCGCCAAAGGATCAATAATACATTCATCTTCATACGCAATTCATCCTGGAACGGCACATTTCGTCCTTTCTTAATTCTCTCAACTAAATTTAATCCCTGTAAATAAGTTGAACGATTTATATATCTTCAAAACCATAGAAATAACAATTTGTGGGCTCGCACCGCAGTCAGACACGAAAGGTTCACATAAATCTAGCAAAACCCTTTTGAGTGTGTCTATATTAGTCTATTTACTAAAGTTTTGAAAAGTTTTATTAAGTTTTGAAAAAAATATTAGTTTGTTCCGCTATTGCGGCAGAAATTATGCTACATTTTAAGTTTACGCCACAATTCAGAGCCGCCTGACAGAGAGTTAAAGTTCTCCAAAGAGGCCAAAAAAAAGCAATAAATTATTGGTTTTGCATTAAAATCCAAAAATTGTTCGGTTAATTCTTTAATGCCTATAAGTCCAATAATAATAAACTATAGATCCCTAGATTAAACCATGATTTAATAATGGAGGTCGGAGTGAAGAAGAGTGTATATTAAGACTCAGATGTATATTAGACCTCCTGATTTTCTCATACATTAAATGAATTGGGAACAAACACTATAGTACATTAAACTATTTTATTTCCTCATCCTTGCAATTGAGTTGGAGTAAACACTAGTTTAAATTAAGGCATTTAGCTGCACTATTTGAACGTGTAGAGGTAAATAGTAACTCCAAATGCAGCTTTAATCTCTGCCGAATGTCTACGGTAGCTTATGGCTTACAGGTTGGATTGCGTGAAAAAGTTTATCGTGACACGCAACTTCAATTGCAAAAAATCGCCGAGTGTTGTTCAAAAAGTGATTTTCGAGTAATTTTCCTTAGAAAATTTTTTCACGACATGGGCAACTGTATAAGGGTATATACTACTCACAATGTACGGCTAGGACAATAATTCTGGAAACTGAAGAAACATAAAAGTTTTTACTCACTCATCCTGGTTATCATCATCTTGGTTATCATCATCATCATCATCGTCGTCATCATCTTCATCTTCATCACCCTCGAACATGTCCCATGCCGAGGTGCGTGCGAACAGCACCATCAGGCCCAGGAGCAGCGCTAGCAACGTTCTGCAACATCACAACGTCTCAGAATTGTTCTTCCTTAAATCAATGTCATCAGCTAGTGGATTAGTATAAACTTCAGAATATTTATACAATAATAATAAGAACATTTTATTCAGAATGATGGTGACAGATGCACCTAATCCGTTTCCATTACAAAGGTTGTTGGTAATAGATACATAATTGCAATTAGGCTAAGACAGATTGGCATGCTCAACTATAATGACGAATTTAAGGATTTAAATTTATTACAAAACGAGAATTGTGAATGCTTACATCACAATTCGATGAGTGGATTTTTTAATTTTAAAATTATATGTGTAATTTTTGATGATAAATGATCAGAATTGTCTCATTATTGCGCTTTGGGAAGCGAAAAAATAGATGCAATTTGTAAAGAATTTCTGTCGCATGTTTGAAGTCTGGCACCGTAAATAAACAGGGGCTGTTGGGGCGCGTATCCACGATGGCTATCGTGTCGGGATATTTCCAGGACACACATTTTTTCCGTTGTGGAGAAATTGAAATATGGGAGTAAGGGTAAGATTTAAAAATTGAATGTGATATTTCCCAACATTTTTTAATTAGATTTTTTCCTGGTAGGAAGTCTCTAGTTTTTTAATGTGTTTGCAGCATGATGAATCCATCTGCAGTTAACAACGCGTTAAAAATAACTACCGAACTACCCACTGATTCACATAGCTGCTAGAATGACCTGATGAAGCAAAAGCTATAATAGAACAAATATTAAATGGACTATCATTTGAACGTTAGAACCACGCTCCAGGGGTCAGTCTAAAGTGAATGATAATTATAATAACTGCCAATTATTTTCTTATCTCTAGCCATTCGCTTCAATTTTCCTCATTGTGTTTACCGGGGAGAGCTCAGTATGACGTTTGTTATAAAGGCCATTTATAACATTATCTTGATAGTTCCCATGCCAACACATTATCGTGAGGATTTACAGACATTTAACGAAAAATGCACAAAAGAATGAGTTTGATGAGGGATGCGTTTCAATATTTTTTTTAGAAATTAATACCTGTTTATCATTTCTAGTGTACTCTAATTGTTACGGATCTATAAAGCTTCCTCAATTTTTGCCTGAAACTGTTCTTTAATTTTTTAACTCTTTTATATTTGGATCAACGTCACCTACAATGATTCTTCAACATTTATTTCGTGTTCCATTCTATATTCGTCGATTTAAAAACAAGGTTGAGTCAAAACATTTTCATAGAGCAAACTCGCTGAGTAAATATGAATATGAAGCCAAGGTGTGTTTGTCAGTTTGATCATGATGAAATCACGTGAATTGTATCGAGGTAAAACACAAGCTGCATTGCTGAGAATAACCTGGCACAGAGCGACGCGTGCTTCTTGCAACTCTGCACTTGGCAGCGACGCTTAGATTAGCAGTTGTGCTGCTACAATGTTTCTATCAGATGCTCTGTCTCTCTACCTACACAACAGGTACAAATACAATAGGTACGCACGCATATAATAGCTATAACGCACACACAATAGGTGCGTATGCTCAATAGACATTGCCATACAATAGGTATGTAGGAACGATAATTACGCCCATACAATAGGTACGCTAAAACAATGGGTAAGCACACAATATGTACGTGTACAATACATACAATAGTTACGCACATACTATAGGGGATCACACAATAGGTGCGCGCACACAACCAATACATGAACAGCAGCAATACAAACTATTCACGTTCGCACACAGCTATGCGCACACTGACACCATACAAAAATATTGAATTCATCCTTTGTACACACCATGTATTCACGCACGCTCAACAAAAATATACAACATACACCGCATGCACTTACAACTTCTCGTGCCCTACTCATCCCGTGTACACGTACATACATTCCATGTACACGCACGCCTCATATACACATACATGTACTTGCACACACCCTGTAACCTTCACACAGCATGTAACATCCTACACACACCATATTCCCTTACAAACGCCACACACACACACCGTGCACGCACACACACACCATACACACACATGCACGCACGCACACGCCATGTACGCCAGAAGGCGACAGTCAGGTTGTCACTACGCGAGACTCTTTGAATTTACTTGTACTGGAATTTTCCTTATTGCATGTAGCAGACAAGCTTGAAAACTTCTTTCCTTAACCCTGCTACCTTTTTACGAAATTCTTTTTAATTTGAATTTGTATGAATCATTACTTTGAGCCTATACGCATGAATATCTTCTCAAAAGTCTCGTACAGGTTAATTAAAAATCAGAATTTACATCAAAAGTTGGATTCGAGTTGGACTCGAATTTTCAGGTAAACGAAACCACCGCTACTTTTTCGATACAAGTTTCAAGTAAATGATGTTTTCTTTTAGATACGATTGTTTACATTTTCAAAAGTTCAAAAATTTGGCTTCTTATCAGTTGAAGGGAAAAATTATTAAGTATTTATTATTAACGATAAACCTTTTTCAAAGTCAATTACAAAGTAAAAAAAAAGCGCAATATGCAGACGGACTAAACTCTACGGACTTTGAAACCAGTATTTAAGTATCTCGGCTTCGCTTTCTTTTATTTAGAAAAATTTTTACGAATAATTCAATAAAACTCAAACAATGCTTTAATAATTGACAAAAAACTTACAAAAGTTGAAGTACTGAATCTAATTTTATATATTTGCATAAAATGCATCGTAGAATATATATTTTAAGCCAACTTTAATGTCGAAAGGAAATATGATGTCGGAGCAAAAAATTTGTCTCCTGAGATTTATTGCCCTCTATTAATTACAGTTGGTTATGCAAAAAGTTTCTTATGATTAGGCCGGTAGTTTACCGCTGCGAGCTCTGAAATTTTGCCAATATTCAGGTCTAAACTGCGCTGGCCGAGACACCGTCTTGGCTAGGCTCTTGTCACACGGGTAAAGGACCTTTGTTTGGACAGATTTAAGGCCTGATTAACGTCATTTTGTAATTCTTGGCAGCCTTGATAGTCCGTTTTAAGACATAAAACAATATTTATTATGTTTTTGTGACAATTTGTGTAACTTGAATGGATTTATCATGTTCTATATTTGCAAAACGAAAAAACGCGATTGCTCTCCATTCTTATGTTTAACTTGCTATAAAAACGAGTTTCAAGAACAGACGAAAAACAAAAAAATCACATGGCAAATTCGTGACAATTTTGAAGCATTACATGCTTTCTGAACTCGACCAAATTTGACGGTTTCAGAGCTAAACACGAGAAATTAGCACGACTGTGAGTTTTAACCAAACCAGAAAATTGCAAGTCATTTACACAGGGCAGCAGCAGTTACGAACTTTACTTCCAAGTAATTACCCAGATGAAATCGACTAATAATTGCATACATTTGAGTAATTTTGAGTAATAATAAAGTGAGAAAGTTTAACTATTGTTTTGACCCAAAAAATTAAGATGCAAAATATAAACTGTGCAATAATCAAATTTTCCTGAACATAAGAAAAGTTGCAGTAACAGGAACCATGAACGTTTTTCCCATTGTTAAAATCTCTAGTAGATCCAACGTTTTTTAAAGGTCCTTTGAATGAACAAAAATGTAATAAGATGCTAAAATTTGAAACTATTGCAAACATTTATATTTCTTTAAAAACTTTGCAGTTTAGCGGAATTTCTTCTGCCGGTAAGAAGTAGTGCTCTGTTTTGAAGAAGGTTGATTCCAAAACGCTCTCAAGTAAAGAAGCAAAATATTGTCAACAGAAACATAATTGAGTAACCTTCAATACATTTCAACTTAACCTCAAATATTTTATGCTTACAACTACACAAGATGCTAATATTATTAGCCGATTTGTATGCCAAATACCCTGCAGCTTATGAAGATGCAATTAAAATCTTCAGCCATATGCATTGCCCTGCCACCACATGACGGGCATGACGCGGCGCTCGCTTGGAATGCGCCAAGACGTTCGTGAGCAACGCTATAGTGTCTCCACAGCTGCTTAGATGGTAGTACCGTAATAAATGCTATAGCAACCTAACTGGTAACATATCCTAATTTCTTAAATTAAGGCACTAAAGAAATAGCTCATTTTTTGGCAACCTGGTTAGATAAATTTTTTCCGTTTTAGTTTAGGTGTACCTAGCCTTTGTGTGTCTCGAAAACTTTGAATTCAGCATTATTAACAATGCCACATAACACCATTGCTGCAATTCGTATCGTGGCCAATGGATTAATAATAATATTGTTTTTACTGGTGTTGTGGAAAAACGACTCAAAAATGCTACTTCTTCCATTCGTGCATAAACAATTCCAACAAATTCGCATCATAACAAAAAATGGAAAATAGCACTGCTTCTCTTTATGCCGGAAGCGTACTTCAAAAACTGAAAAACTGATCGCCGTGTATGCTAGACAAATTAAGTTGTGAACTCGTCTTCTTAGAGTCGATGCATGTTGCCACCTAACACTCGGATATAAAAACGCCACTTATTTAAAATATTTGCTCTGATATTATTTGCAATTCGCGATTAATTGCAAATAAATCTATCCCAACAAAGAAAGTGCAACTAATAACAAGTTTCAATGACGATATAGCAAGAGGATGCAGTGAAATTTATGTGGACGTATCCAATAGATATTCTTTAAAAACTTGAGCCACACTAACCTTGAGGTGGCACAAAGACTTTACTCTCTAGCTAGCGGGCTACCCATCGTAATTGGAGCGATATGCATTGTAAAAAACATGCGTTACAATTCAAGCCACTTTGAGGTATTTTAGCTGCTGGCACGAGCGCAGTGTTGGCAAGGTAGTGCGTTCAGGTGAAGAACTTCTGTAGAGAGGAACTTCATTGCGATATATCTTCCTTTCGCATCGCAGTATTCAACTTTATGTTGAATTTTATCCTGATTTAAACAAAAATATTCCCTAAAATTAAATTAATACTAAATTAAATCGATTTTGCTCCAGATGTCAACTATCGAGGCGAATCTCTAGAAGACCTTAAAGACTTGTTACTAATTTTACCGATTCAATTTGAGTTCAAGTGATGCATTTCGGTCAGATATAGATCGTGTAGCAGGAGAGCTAACTTTTTTTGCTACCTTAAATTGCTTCTTTTGGTTTATAATCGTGCAATATATTCATGGCCGCATATATTCATCACACTTTTATTATGATTTAATCGGTTTAATGATTTAGGTGATGCGGTTTCACAGCACCCAGTGTCAATATTTACGTGTCTTTCTCACACATGATTGAGCGACAGAGAAAGACTTTGAACCCACAAGAATAAAGAGCAAAACATTTATCAGACGCCAGCAATCTTCGAAGGCTTAAAATTTAAACGACGCATTCAAAGCCTCGTTCAAAATGTGAAAAAAACTAAATTTTCCCGATCAACTTTAAGTGTTTTGCGGATTCTTTTCTTTTAAATGACTTCTCGATTTCTGGTAAAAATGGCCAAATTTGGTTCCATTTCATGTCACCAAACAATGAAAGTGTGAATATAGGTATCCAATCTTTCGTTAAAGTCATGAGTAAATCACTAAATATCGCCATATTTATTCATCAAAGAAGTTTTTCTTGACATATATTTGAACATCTTCCTCTGTCATGCAGGTTTGTATTATTCTCACGACAGAGTGAGGGACGCACTACTGGATTTCTCGAAATGGCGGCGGTGTATACCAACTTACTTTTCAACGTAACTCATAAATGAATTATTTCAGTTCTCTTCTAGTCCTTTTATACTTTATTTAACATGTTGATGGGTTATTTATTAACGTTTCCTTTAGTGATGGCAACGTTTGCATGCGATTGTGGTGGAATTGTCATCAAGGTGTATTTAGTATGAGATCAAAAATCAGCTAACAATAATAATTACCTGTTCTTCATTGTGTTCGGCAGTAAGTACTAGAGAGGAAGAGAAGAAGCAATGTTCACTCTGTTGCAGACAAATCTCAACTGGCAGAGGGTGAGCACTTCTTTCTATTCCTGGCGCCTCGCCTGCCGACGCGCATGCGCAGCCCTTTTTCTTGCGTGTCGCCACCAAAGGTACAAGCAAAGTTAAGCTTAAAAAATATTTGACAAAACTGAGTACATGGCCAAATTTTCCTGTACTTCAGAAAGTGAAACTGGGTTTATTCTCGGTCAGGTGGGCATTCTCTATCAGCAGGTGATACTGCGTTATTTTGTTTTAAGCGAGGCTGGATGACACGGATTTGCAGCTGATTATATGTTCCTTCAACACAGTTGTTCACAGATTCATGGCACATTTTGGAGAACTTATAATTTCTTCTTAAAAAAGTTCAAAAATGCTTGTTCGTACCTTCGACATATTAGGAGAAATTTTTCTCGCGTCAAAGCTACGTAGAATTATCGTTGAAGGTGCCTGTGATGAGCTCCCGAGGAACGGTGTTCACTTAAATAATAATAATAATAGCGTTCACTTGGACTTTATTTTTCATAGGGTGGCCCAGCGGTTACAGTTCAGGGTACAAGATTGTCGCAGAGGTGCGGGTTCGATCCCAGCTCTGTGCGTCAGTTTCTGGTCAGAATCGGCGAGAAGGCCGGGCGGTTAAACACAGCAGAATTGGAGCAGCGAGTTGCGTGTTCGAGACCGCAAAAAGCTGTGAATGTTCTGTGGTATTAAGAATTTGCAACAGGCCTGTGGCCTAATGAATGCTAAAACCGCTATTATTGTCAATGAGAAGAAACGTGCTTCCATGCTTACTATGATTTCAGAGGATATGAAAGTATTAAGAAGTTATTTTGTTTGGCAAATAATACCAATATTATAGCTTTTGATGTATGCAATTATAGATAAACGAGAATTGAGCTGCATGTTTTCCACGAAACGATATGCATGTTTTCCACGATAACTCTCAGGGTCGTTCAAGTGAACAGGACTTCTTATCAGAATATCATATTCCACCGAGTCAAGAAACAATTGCTGTCACATCAATAAGTAATCTCAAACTCGCGACAAATCATCAAGAAGCCATAGATTTTCATCATCAAAAGAAAAAAAACGAATATATCAAAATTTTCAGAAAATAGAACTGAGATGATTGAACTTGTGAAACCATATGTATTTCAAAATTTAAACGAGTTTTACCGGAAAGATTGCGAGCTCACGATAAAAATTTTCTGCATAAGAAATGCTTCAGAAGACGGGCATCACCCCGCTTCTCAAGCCAGAGAGCAAGGCAAAAAAAACATAGATAATGGGGATTTATATAGCCGAAGATTGCAAACAATCAACAGCAACAATAGTAAAAGGTAACCGGTAAACCAAACGCCAGCCTCTACGACTACTAGAGTATTTATTCAGAATAAATATAAGAGTGATCAAATGTTTAGGTGGAAGTCGAAACGCCACCAGATAATCATTACAGGAGGTTATTATTGGCTCAAAAATCGTTCCACTCGGAGTCGTCCGGGTGAAGCCAAAGTGGCCTGCGTCAAATGACTAAAATGAACCCGTATGAATTTCCACATGTACCTCAATAATATTGTAGACTGTTCACAATTAGAAATTAGTACAATGATTGTAGCTGCAGTGAAGCAAAAATTCATCTGCCAGTCATGATCTAAAGAGAACAACAACGCATCTTCTATTAGGGAGATAAATTTATGAAGCGGCATTTAAACGATAAATATGTTCATGAGTTAAAAGATGCAGTTGGTTGGCCATGTTAGATATTCGGAAATTCTAATCCTACAGTGAAGACATAAGAAGAGGAATCGCCAAAATCGATCGATAGGCTACATCAAAACAAGAATATTTGGAACTATTGAAGAGTACTCTCAGTTTTTTTGTCGAGAAGAATCTCACACCGAAACGATTGCTTAAAATGAGACACAATGAACGTCGGATCAAGAATTGTAACCGCCTGTCAGTACCAAGTCAAGAGAAGAAACTAGACATTGTTAAACATTAGTGAGTAGCAATAGAAGTATGACCGACGATATTTGATCTATGACCACCTGCCTCGTAGTGTTTTCGGCACATACGAGGCCCATGTTGAAATAAACAAAGACGCTTACGGTCATCTGCGGTATATGGGATCCAAAAGTAATTTTACTTAATAAGTTTAGCATGGTGGTTCGCCCTCCTCTGTAACCGAGATTTTATAGGTACGCTCACAATAAACATTTTGCATTTCAGCTCAAGGCACGAGCACAAACACATGACTAGCATCTATAAATAATAAATATAATAAACTTTAATCAAAATAAATACGAATACAACAGTTACTTAAACTCCGATGAATGGGCTTTATCATATAATAATTATCCAAATTCTTGTTAAAGCATTCGCGAACAAAATCGTTGTAAATTTATCATTTATTTCATAAATGGAGTTTAATCAATAACCTAATGAGAAATATATCCTTTAAAACTTGTACATGCAAAACGTGATGTCATTTCAAAAATGCAGCAACAAAGCGCACAAAAAATATCTATTTATCACGGTGATTTATCGGCAGTTTGTAATTAGATTGTGAATTCAACACCGACAAACGTCGCAAATGAGAAGCTATCAACTAAAACGACGCACAATATCTCCATGTAAATACATTTATATGTTCAATAATAGAATATAATGACACCTGTCAGAGTGACTTTACATTAACAAGTGTTTGTTGCTTAGTGTTACATGATTCTTTGTGAAGTAGCGTCTAAATAATGAGCGTATCAACTGGTGACATGGACGAGGGTTGGCTGTTGAGAGCGGATGGAGCCCGATCCATAACGTCGCTTGGCTTCCGTCAAGAAGCTCGTGACGTTCTGACGCACGAGCTCATCAAAGAACATGTGCGCCAGGCGCGAGTGCAGCGATGACCTGAACTCAAAACTGATAGAAAAATCCAGGGTGCACGTGTTCGCCTGAAATGAACACATAACATAAGCTACTGAATGTAAAAGTCTCGATATAATAAACATAAGTTTATGAGAAACATCATGATGTAATGGATAGTTTCACAAACCAAGTGATCCATACACAAATTGAATGCGATAAGGAAGCGAGATTCTTCATATGGAAAATTGTTGAATGTAGGATTGGTTGCGGTTTATCAGCAAGTTTGTTCAGTGAGCCATTGTTACAATTTGAAGTCATTGTCATGAACAAGAAATTTTGTAAGTAAACTGTCTCTCACTCATGATAAATAAATGGAAAAAAGATCATTAGAGACATCATTTGCAAATAAGTTCAAATAATTCAATTTTAGTTTGTTTGTTCATTCCACACAAACAATATTGGTCATTTCGTGAGTTTCAATTTATGTGAACGAAATATAGGTAAGTGGTGGAACAGAAGAGAATTTGGGTTCTTTTCTCAGGGGATAGATTAACTTGTCACAGAATATAGTTTAACTTTGCACATCTAATACTTTACTCAATGCTTGTATTGGTTTTCAAGTAACTCATTAAACAGGAGTACCATAAGTGAAAGCATACAATGCTAGTTATTAAGCAATATATTTCCCATTAGAGATGCACTTTATTCTGATAGTTAATCAACGATTAGAATGAGTCTGATGCCCCACCTTATTATGGAGGCCAGGTGAGAAGCGCCAGACCGTGAGGAGGTGGTTGAAGAGCTTGCCCTGCGTGCACACGGCGCGCACCATGTGCGGTGCTGCCAGGCTAACGCTGCTCACGTACGCCTCAGAAATAGGAGGGAACCCGACCTCGAGCTCTGCCTGTAAATGAGGATATTGTCAATTAGGGTATAGGGTTTCAGTAGATGTTATTAAAAAATTAATAAAATTCGATATACAGAAATTAAATTTTCAACAATTGCCATTTTTTCCTACAGTGAATAGCAGTCAAATGTTCTTTCCAACATAAAAAATAAAATTGAGGGACCCTGCACCTAAAAAAGCTTCCGAGTAGAGTAGATGCTATAAAAATACATTTTCTTCATTTTCTTTTTGATATAAAATGGTCAAAATTTGTTGAAAAAATTTGCCCTAAAGCACCAGCTGTTTTTCAATTGTTATAATGCTTGATGCTGTGATTAAATTTGGCATTACACTCATTCATATCAATGTAAAAGAGAAGGAATAACTTCAACTTGTAAATTTTTTACCTTGAGGAAGCCTTTGCGGCGCTGCACTACATTAGATTTTTTGCAGTATGGCACGAAGTCTTTATAGCGCTCCACACCTGCAACAACATCATACATCTGCTGCATACTGTACCTGTTTTGAGATGAAAGCCAGTTACTTAAACATGCTTACAGTGGTTGCATTACTGCATCTACTTCATAAACCATTATATAATATGGTATTTAGGAAAATACTGTAAGTTATATATAATGGTTGATTCCATAAAAATAGCTTATGAAGAAAATTGTAAACGAGATGAAAACAATGGTTGATTCCATAAAAATAGCTTATGAAGAAAATTGTAAACGAGATGAAAACAAAGAGACTTTCACTGCACTTGAGACAAAAATTAAGAATAAGTCCAAAATAATTTGTAATTAGCTGAACAAGAGAATGAAGCAGTATTGGTTTTTATTAATACGTATGTAATCTTTGAGTCCTGCATGCACTTACCCTAATAACCTTCTTTCTGAGTATTCTTTCACACGATCTTCAGAAGCCAAGTTGAAAAATCCACACGACTGTTGCAGGTCAGGTAGGCTGCTCACAGTCAGCAATGATGTTGCCATTCTTGTATGATTGATGCCATACCTTCTATGTTGAGACCGTCTCCATCTACAGTGCTGAGGTGATGATGGTGGAAGTAATTTATCCTCATTGAGCAGAATGTCATCATCAGCTGAACAGGGAATAGCTGATGACTTTTTAGTAAGTATGTTTTCATGTTTGGCTCTTGTCAGAGATGCTGAATTGCTTGTAAATGAGTGATGATGATGATAAGGGGAGCAGGGACACGAGAGTGCACTCTTCTGGCCACCATCATCCAATAAGAAGGGTGGATGACACCAGCAGCTGCGGGATCCATAAAAAAATAGGATGGAGTTTGGGAGTTTGCCAACATCAAAATCAATAAATATTTAGTATGAAATATGCCATTAGCATGCCAAGATTGAAGATTTTGGCCATTAAATTAATACATAGGTAATTAAACTTCAACATGAATACCGACATTAACAGGACATTAATTCAGTCTCTATTTAGGTAGTACGGTAGTTATAAGTGAGATGTGGTGATGCAAGAGCATTCAGAGTTTGTATTTTTCATTTATATCCCAGCAGGCACCTCAACACACATCAAAATTAAATTAAAAGATAAATGTTTTCAAGCATTACAAACATTAGTGATTTTGGTAATCAGTTAGTTCTTTTCTTTGTTTTTCAACTTTTAAAATATTAGTCATAATAGGTACTACTATTAAAATTTATCCATGGCCATTTGAAAGAGCTTGCAAGGTAAATCTTAACATAATTCAATTTCCAAAGAAAAAGAGAAATTTCAAAATAAAGCATTTAATTAAACAAGCCAACCTATATAATTTTGCATATTCAAATTTTTGTTCTTGCTCCAAATTAATTTATTGAGCTTTGAATCAAAATTTACCATTTATGGGAAAATATCTACTTTCTGTGCTAGTAGTAAATTTTTTAAACTTAGCAATGGTAGTCCAGCATAAGAATTTAGTTCAAATCTATGGATTCACCTTCCAGCACTGGATTTTTGTTCCAGTATGTTTCACAAGGGCAATTTTATATACTACCGGTACTAACCTTTTAATTGCAAAATGCATCTTGTCTGACATGACTACAGTTACAGCCAGCATATAATTTTTGAAAATCATTCAACACATGAAAATGGAAGAATATCTCATCATATTAAAATGCCACAACTAAACCTTTTCTTTATAACGTGGCAGATATTTCTAGAGATTAAGCAAGCAAAGTTTCCAGGCAAATAGATCACTTTCCTCCTTTGAGAAATCTGATTCATGCTTACAAACTCAAAGTCTTCATAGTGTGATCATTTCAGATGGCATTTTGTAAATTGTGGTTTGTAAAAATCAGTATACCGGTATTCATCACATGTGCATAAATATCTTCAATTACAAATAACAAATACAGACTACAGTGCATTATGATTGATTTGGGTGACCCATTACCAGTGAAGATAGATGGTGGTTACTAATCTATACCGTAATGTGTTGCTCAATTGATTGTTGCCCATTCAAGGTCAAGAAAGAAGGCTAATTGAGACATCTATATCTCAAAACTGAAGGCCTTACTTTACAGTCTGAAAATAATATCAACCCAATTTCTAATTTCAATTGCAACATTTTAGATTTACCCACAATAGGTACACAAATTTGGAGATGAATCACTTTTGTTCAAACTTTTCCATTCTTTGTTCATCGCCAGCCTCAAGTTTTATTGAAAAAATAATGCATATAATTTTCTAACTTAAACTTTCATCAAGATTTTCAGTTTGAAAAAAATCTTACAAAAGCAGACTTATTGTTTTTTCTTGAGGAATCAGGAATCTCGGAGAGATTTTTCTGAAAACTGCAAATGAAATCCATAAAAATTGTATTGTGTTTTTTTCAAAAACTTTAGGAGTGAAAATATGCAGTATTAAACTGAACACATTGAATGCAGTTCTCCAAACTGTCAACTGCCCACTGGCACAAACTGCCCACAGTAAGAAAACGATAAATTCAAATGTTCACCGTTATTTTTAAAAATTATCTATAAAATCTCAGTTTTTACATACCATTTACACAAATCTTTGTCCAATTTTCCAAATAAGCCATAAATAATAAGAAAACAAGGTGCATACTGGTATTTGGAAAAAAAATTCCATGACTCTCCATGACCATCAATACATCTTTTCAAGACTTGTATATGACATGTTTAGCATGACCAAAAGACTAATAGTGCATATTCTATCATCTTATACAGTTGATAAATAGCAAATGTGTGAATGCATAGAGCAGGCAGACACAGAGGAACAAAAATGACACATCTGAAAATCAAGCTCACACTGGTATTATTACGGATTCATTACTGTCAAATCACAACAAATACCGGTATTGAGTAATGCACACAAGATTATACATGATAATGTAAATACAGTTCAGAACACTCTTCAACACCACTACCTCAACATTCAACTGGCAGCTATTTCATCAACATTTTCTTTAATGTTCAGGTCAAGAGTGTCTACCTTTGTCTTATCAAAGATTGCCTCAAGGGCCTCATGGCATTGAACTAAATTGCAATAATTTTCAAATCCCTCTTTCTCTCCATTGCTGCTGCATATTCATCTGCTGCTTGCTCAAGTGCCTTAATGCCCTTCTCTGTACACCTTTTCTTCTTCAGTTCATATAGCTCATCCAACAAAGCCTTCCTCTTCTGGGTTTTCTGGGCCTTGCATTCTGCTCTTCATCTGCCGCCAAATAAATATTATTGTAGGCTATTTTGGCACTGCCGGCTGCAAGCAACATACTCTTGGTGATGGTCATCTTGTCCAGGCAACCAACATGTGCAACATGATCAACCACAGCATGCAGGGCAACCACCATTTGCTCTTTCATGTTGCATGTCATGATTTCCTTGTTGAACAAAAACCCTCTTTCAACCATGGCTTGGCCATGAGACTGGAGCATGAGCATCTGCACCACATTCCAGAGCTTCTTGTAGATGCACTTTGACAGAATGGCATGCCATAAGTGTCCAGTCAATCAGAAGTTGAAAATGCTAGAAACTGTGCGTTCAGTTCACTGCAATGTTGTGGTTTATCTCTAAAGTTGCACATTTCATTGCACAATACCATCCACATCTATGTTAGGGAATCTCTTGGCATCAAGAAGCAAAGTGAGACAGTTCTTCAACTGTGTCTTGTCGGTTTCCATACAGTCTTTCTTAATGGAGACTTTTGGCACCAGCAATCTTGGGTTCCTACCAAGGCCATACCTGATAGGGCTCTTGTTCAGTAGTTTTTCAACTACAGCCTGCATGGAAGTCCCGCGCTCATATCTTGAAAGTGAGAACAGTTGCACTTGCCTTCTTGTCTGCAAGCTGTTTTTTATCACAGTCCTGGCCATGTAACCAACATCAACCTTATTGAGGAAAATCAAAATGCCTTTTGGTCCATGACTTTCCATGACTTGCCTATGCATGCAATTAATCAATTTATGACCTTGGCCCACTTTCTTTCATTGGTAAAAAGAAAAAATAGCACATTTTGGCTGGCAACATTAAAAAATTGCCTGTGAAAAGAGAGTATATATGTGAAATTCTGCCTATTGCATATATTACAGAATACAGATTGCCAAAATCCAATTTGGAATATTGAGCAAGGGCAGTAAGGCACTGACCATCAGACAGGAGATTTCAAAAATATGTGAATGTTGTGATTGTTGTGAGATTTCATTTGTTTGTATTTTGGAGTTTGTGGAGTCAAAATTATGTTAGATATATGATAGCCCAATATTTCTCTGTTTGCACCAAATTTTGGTGTCAGTGCATTTTTGTAGCCAGTTTACCGCCTGGCGCCCGTAGCTCTTATTTCCAGTCAAAATTGATTTTCATGATGGCAAAATTTTAACGTTGCAAATGACATTAATAAACTTGGTTGTCAACTTTTGGAAGGCTTGAAAAATTGAGTGAAATAAAGTAAATAATTAGTGTAAATCTGTTTTGTATCCTCAATGACTGACAGCCACTGACTAATTATTATAACAAGATCTTTTGGAGTCAGATCAAAGCAGAAGAGTTCAACTCATTGTGAACACCGGAATTGCAAACTAAGGTTAGGTAGATACTTATTGCATAGCAATTCAAGATTCAACAATTGTTTCATAGGTTATTTTCTAAATATGTGGGTAAAAATAGCTCATGTTTCAAATTTTTAAGTAGAAATTGGGGAAATGCTATAGGAATGAGTAAAATTAATCAGATTCCTGCAGTCCTGCTAGCATGGAAAACTTCTGCAACCATTAGCCTGATGATTAGGGCCGCAACTAGAGGCTCTAGTTGCAGCCTTTAGCCACAACTAAAGCTCTAGACAGTCTGTCTAGAGCTTTCCCAGCCGCCATTTCTGGAACAGCAAGATTTCTGCCAGATGAATTTCCTCCTATCTAATTCAAGTAATTGTTAACAAAAATGCATTCACTGTATTGTTTGATGATTGGACTAAGTGATTCCAAATGTATTAAAAGTTTGTCATATTGGAGCCAAGAGATTTCAGAAACAAGTAGGACAATTCCAATCCTGGATTCCTGGACATTTTTTTCAATTTACAGGTAATTTATTTGCAAGTTTCCACTTTGGAGTTTGGATTGGTGCTAGATGAATAATCTCCTATTTAACAATAAAAAAAAGTGCCTGGTCAAACAGCGAAAATTTCAAATTTACAAAAAAATCATTTTGGAGCAAATACCTAAATTTCAGTACATGTAATGATGTACATGTAGAAAATTTTAATTTTGTTCTTGATTAATCTCTAACATCTCTGTAGAAATCAAGTTAGGCTAATTTACCTAATTCCTAGTACTTAGGTACCTATTTAATTATTTTCTAGAAATTTGAATCCAAAAATCTCAAAATTAGGATTACCTATTTTTCTGTTTAACAGTTTGAGTGGTCTGATGAGTGATGAATGGAAAATGATAAAAAATTGCTATGCTCAATAACAAACGGGCTTAGAACATTTTTAGGACTTTGGACTAAGGGTCTGGGTCAGCCTCAGGCCTTCAGCAATGGCCCAGCTCTAGCATAATTTAGGAAGACGATGCATTTTCATACTAACTAAAGTAACTATGAAACAATTTACTCCGACTCATTAACATTAGGCCTACGGTCTACCTACAGCCTACTCACGAAACTTGAAAGCATCAACTAGGTACTCATTTCTCCGTAGAATCATACCTTGGATTTCTTAAAAAACGTAAAGATGATGCAGTTATCAAGTGTACTTTGCGATTCATTGCAAGGACTTGGTTTTTTCAATCACCACTCGCCTCACTTCCGGACGGGGATCAAACAGTTAATCCAACAAGATTTTGGTCATTTTGATGACCTTGAAGATATTGCAATTGACGCACTTGCGGATGTTCTTGGAACGGAAAAATTTTAATTTTCATGCAAATGATTAGCTGTTTGATTGCCAAGCTGTCTACAAACATGGAAGTTGAACAAAATTTAGCGCAGAGGAATAATTGTTTCGTTATGATAAAAGAAATATATTTTAGACAAAACAGTTTATTATTTACAAGTATTAGTACAAAGGGCGCCTGACAGGACACATGACAATATTGAACAGAATACATAAAAAGTAAATATCGCAACAAAAGTCCTTCAACTGCTCTAAAGAAAGGGGCAATATGCAAAATATAACACGAGATGATTACTGCCGAGAATTCAAATTCAATAAGATTTCTTCGCACTCCGCTCGGTGAAATATACGGGCAACATCCAGAGCTGTAAAGAAAAAATTAGCTGTATTTTACAATTTTGATTTAGAAAACGGATGTTAAAAAGATACAATAATTGCCAATATATAATGCTGGTTCTACACTAGATCATGAAATACCAAGCGGCTAGCAGATTTGGCACAACCCACGTTTCTGTGGCACAAGAAATTCACGGTAGAGGATCAGCTTCAGCACCGAAGCCGTATCGTCTTTATTTCGTATACTATAATAAGATTTCGTGTATTATAGTCGAAATGACGTACATACCTGTGCGGCCCTGTTTATCAATGACGCTCACGTCACACTTCAAGTCTCGCACCAACACCGGCAGTAGCTGCCAGTGGCCGTTCGCTGCTGCGATGTGCACGCACGTCTCACCTAAAATTGAGCCAATATCGAGTGAAATCTTCCTGAACTGAGTGTTGATGCATCCATACCAGAAAATTTTCAAGACACTCGTTGAAAATATAAATCTAGGATCAATAGGATGTAGTTTTAGGGATCTCTCCTGCACAGTTCAATCTGTTAAGATTAATGTAAAAAAACTGTCACTGCCTATATTAGGGTTTCCACCACCTACTTGATAACTTTAGTAGCTTAGAGCAGCCAAATAACCCAACTGACGCTCTGCTTTTAGAGCCAGAAGATCATTGACCACATGGCTACATACTTTTAAGCTCATGTATTAAGTACATCATAATCGAGAAGGTGTAACGGTATTAATAACTGACCGTTGTTATCCTGATGGCGAGCATCGAGCTTCAACTCATCCGCAGCAAAACGAACAGCCTTCACGTCGCCTGCTTCAACTGCCAGCTAATGAAGCATATGAAAAATCAAGATCGTTGTGGATACATTCAAACATTTTCTAATAATATTAACGTGCAAGTGCGACTTTCCGAATATGACTTTACGGCTTTGACAGTAATAAAGACCTATTCACTAGTAATAAAACGTCACGGCACACCTGCAAAGCATTGCGTCCTCTGTTGTCGAGTTCCTGATCTCGCGCGTCCGACCAGATACCGAGCAACACGTGTGCAGTGCGTATGTGGCCGCCTGCCACAGCGTGCAGCAGAGGACTGCGGCCGTGGGCTGCACAGACCGAGCTGCAGCTCGAGTGACCGTGTTTGAACAGCACTGGAAGTAGATCGCTTCTGCCGTTCCCAGCTGGAAAACATGCCAACACAAAACGAGTAAAAAAATAATAAATGTAAAACTTTAATTACTAAAAAAATTGTCGACTAACGACTAACTACCACAAAAACAAATAGTAGTGGGGCTCAGATTAACACTGCCGGCGATGTAGCAGAGGAAGTCAAGTTATTTTCGTAGCCCAATCGTTCGGCTTTCAGAATTGCAAGATTTTAACTAATTTCTAAATAATTATTCACTCAACAGTCTCTCTACCAAAGAGGAAGACCGTGAATTTTCGTTGGCTTCACTTATTATTACTTATTTTAGTTTTAAATTTATTTTAAGGTACATTGAGTTAAATCACCAACTCCATTCATCCAGCACTACTAAGTTAATAAGTTGATTCAGCTTTGTCATTGTTAACTATGAATGGAATGCGTTAAGTGTGTCTATCCTTAGCAACTTATATTTTTGGTATTCATGAATAATATTTATTGAGCTATTTTGCTTTTATAAGTTTTCTTGCTTTCGTTTGCAACCATTATTACTATAATGGTTATAGTTGTCACACATGAGGTTATGGATTATTCCACTTTCCACTTTATTTCCACGTCGAATTTATAATTTTAATGCTAGTCCAAGCGGAATCTTTATCACTTTGAATCATCGCCATGATATAAAGGTGCATCGGTTGGTTAAATTATTTTGCATTTTTTATACCTAAATTTTACTTTTTTGATAACAGATTTTATAGGTATGCATCTTGTTCATGCTCCATATATTTAAATGCCGTGCTCCTTAGTGCGGTTTTTGTACCAAGCTGAAGCTGGACATGGCTGACCAACCATAGCACAGTTATACTTAATTTAATCTATATTGAGACATTGAATTAACTTCACGACTACTACATTTCATTTTTGGTAAAAAGATAACAATTTCATGTCTATGATAATCCACATCAATGTTGTTGACCACATTTGCACTGAAATAGACAAGTGGTTGTCACAAAATAAGACCATTATTTCGCCTTGATGATTGTATTATCTGATCAGCTTTAATTAATCGCAGTTATCTAGGTGGCTGTGGTACAGTACCGTACACGTTAAGATAAAACCTGAATCTGTGGTCGTCGTTTCAGTCATTGTTAAATTTGAAATTGTCAGTATGAGACGTGGGCACTTTAGGTTCCCCGCACTCTTAAATTTGGACTTGTGCTTTAGTCTATATCTCATCTGAGGGTAGTTTCATAAAGAATGTAAATGCAGTTATTAATATTAACATGCCGTCAAACAAATAATAAGATGTGGAAGGATGCTGAATGACTATTTCAAATTCAATAAGAATTCTATACAATACATAATTAATGTCAACTGATCCATAAAGAACTAATAAAAAATAGTCAATGGTATTTTTAGCTTCTAGCTCAGGAATAAAGTCATTAAAGCAAGAAACTTTAAGTTCAACTCAACCATTCCAGCTCATTTTATAAAAACCAATAAATATACAGATGTGTAGAATATGAAAGCAAAAAATATTTGATAAGCTATTGTGTCCTCATAACACATTTACATTACTTTAATGTAACTAGTAGATTAAAATAATGTCTATAAACACGAGGAAGCACCTACAGCGTTACACGTACCTGCTATATGAAGGGCACTTTCCCCTGCATGTGTGAAGGCCAGCACTGGTCGGCTGTCAGCTTGTACAAGAGCTTCCAGGATCTTTTTACTGCCGCTTCTGCAGCAAATGTGTGAAGAATTCCAACCATCCTGAAGAAGTTTACACTCAGTGGGTATATGAAGCAAACAGTACCTAGGGGTTCAAGTGATTGTGAACACGAAATCTAGGTATACCTCTACATCTGTAGAAAGTTTGCATGATTGTCAGGCCTCAATGCTTTATTTTAAACTAGCAGGTTGGCATGATATTGCCAGGGATTAATAATCCCAGCAATTGTAGAATCCCTCCATTTGTTTCCAAATCTCGTTAATAATAATCAAGGCTATCAATGTTAATCAAAGGCAGCCGTCTTCACACTCCAATTCAAACAGAACATAAAACACACATTGGACTCTCGTTTCAAAATTTTATAAAAATTCGTCCTCTTTTGAGGTACATTCATGGTTATCAATTAAAATCAAGTTTCTATTTTTTATCTAATCCTGTCCTTCCAGTTTTGCAATCTTATTTTCTTCTCTCACTAAGAATAAATTTTCATGTCCCAATAATATTCTGACACAAGTATAAACATACACAGAGGTGGGCAGTAGTGCGCTACATGTAGCAGCCGCTACGGTACATTTTCAGTAGCGGTAGTAGCGAGCTACATTTAAGCAATTGTAGCGGTACCAGTAGCGCCCGCTACATATTTACGTAGCGATACAAGGTTTTGCCGCTACAGCGCTACCGCTACATTTATAGATAAAGCCTTTAGATTTTACTTAATAGTATTAAATATTATTTAAAAACCAGCATGATACATACATAATATAAATTACAGAATAAAACTATACGAAAGATTTCGGTGTAATGTTGTCAACCTCAGCCTGTTACTAGTGTCAACATGTTAGTTGTTACCAGAGGTGCGCAGTAGCGCGCTACATGTAGCGGCAGTTACATTTTTGGTAGCGGTAGCGGCGCTACATTTAAGCACTTGTAGCGGTAGCGGTAGCACCCGCTACATTTAGATCATGTAGCAGGAGCGGTAGTGGCCGCTACATTTCAAAGTCGCGCTGCCCAGCTTTGAACATACACAATGGATGACTCCAAATTCACCGGTATATTAGTAGGTAGGTACTTTTGTACTCGGTATTAACAGTGTTCTTACCATTTTATAAAGGTAACTGGTGAGACATTAGATAATTGTCATGAATTACTAGTCAAATTTTTACCTGACAGCCTGCAATGGAAATGCAGTAAAGAACAAAACAAGTTACCTATCTCCTGCACAATTGACACATGTTAGGTTTGGAAATGCATATGTAATCCCCTGTCTCCACTTCAGCAAGAAATAAGATATCTATGCAGTAGCTCAACTCACGGTATTACATGCTGCATCATTGGCACCTGAATTTAACAACATCCTCACAATGTGAAGTGCATCTCTTTCTTGCTGGCCTGATGCAAGCATCAATGGTGTCATGTGGTTCTCACTAGGAGCATCCACCTCTGCTCCTGTAAGGTACCAATGCTTCTGAGATGTCCAAATATACACATCTATATTGCTTTAATTTCACATTTTACATCCCCTTCTAGACCAATTTAAGTAACATATAATATAAATTCAAATCAACAAATCATGTAATAAAAGTTTTGCATAGAAGTAGTTTTTTTTACTAAACTAAAAAGAATAAATTAAAAGGGAATTTTTTATAGAAACAGTATATATGAATTAATCAAAATGAGGTTTACCTAGGTACCTGCTGCAAGAAGGAGATTGACTGCATACATGTGACACTGAACTGTTGCTACATGCAGAGGCCTCATGCTACTGCTGTTACTCTGCTCTAGACATGAGGAACAATTCTCAAGCAAATACCTGCAAGTTCAAGAAGAAATTAGTGGCAAGAAAATTAAAATGATTTTTTTAGTTGATAATTGAAGATTGTTAGTGCTAAAAAATAATTAGGAATACTAATATTAACACTAAGCTTCTTTTAACTTGATATACATTATTTTATTAATTAAATTACTTGGATGATATAAATGTGATTTTAAATAGTTATGATTATATGAGTAAATAAGAAACCCTAATATGAAAGAAAACTGTAAAGAAGAATCAAATCTGGATGAAAACCATACAACCAATATAATGCAATGAAACAAGCAATATTGTTAAAAGTTTTCACATCATATTTATTAGAAATCAGCATCTAAAGCAATCACAATATATGGTTGTTATTCACTTGAGTATTGATTCGTGTTTGACACGGACGGCTGCATGCAGAACTGTGTCAAGAGACTTGGGCTCCAGTAACTTTTGCCAGTCTGTGATGAGTGAAGCTTTCTCTCTAGCTTGAACTATTTTCTTCACTTGTGCCAAGTACTGATGTTCAATAGCAGAAAACAGAGCCTGAATAAAAAATGCATACAATACAAGATTAAAAAACATAGGTAGTCATATAACATATGCCCTGCTTATTATAATTTAAAAATATGCAAAAAAAGGCATCTGACGTAAGTGGCATCTAATGAACAAAATCATTTTGTCAATGCTTCTCGAGTTGCTGTCAACTCTAATGGGACTTGACCTCTTCAAGGTACGGTATTGCATAAAAAAAAGAAGGTTCAGATATGTAATCTATTTTTAGTACCAGAAAATCATACAAAAAACTTTGAGTTTAACACATTCCCCGCGTATCCAGATTTCCCCAGTATTCCCTTATCACGGAAGGCTTTCAGTGGTTGCTGCTTCAGTTTGGCGCCATTGGCCATGACGTGAGGAGGTGTGTGCTGCTCTGTGGCATCATAGCTTTGCATAGCTGCAATAAAAATGTTGGGACACATGTGGTACATTACGCAAGCAAATAATAACCACATGAGTCATACATTTATACAGAGCTGGGCAGCGCTACTTTGAAATGCAGCGGCCGCTACCGCTACATGCTCTAAATGTAGCGGGCGCTACCGCTACCGCTATAGTGGCTTAAATGTAGCGCCGCTACCGCTACCGAAAATGTAGCGGCCGCTACATGTAGCGCGCTAGTACGTGCTACTGCCCACCTCAGGACTAACAACAAACATGTTGACACTATTAACAGGCTGAGGTTGAAAACATTACACCGAAATTGTTCGTAACGGTAGTTTTATTCTGTAATTTATATTATGTATGTATCATGCTGATTTTTAAATAATATTTAATATTATTAAGTAAAATCTCTAAAGGCTTTATCTATAAATGTAGCGGTAGCGCTGTAGCGGCAAAACCTCGAATCGCTACTTAAATATGTAGCGGGCGATACCGCTACCGCTACAATTGCTTAAATGTAGCGCCACTACCGCTACTGAAAATGTAGCGGCCGCTACATACTACTGCCCACCTCTGCGCGCTACTGCCCACCATACTCTCTACATAGCGCGCTACTGCCCACCCCTGCATTTATAATAATAATAATAATAATAGCGGTTTCAGCGTTTATTAGGCCATAGGCCTGTCGCCGATTCTTAACATCGCAGAACATCCACAGCTTGTTGCGGTCTCGAACTCACAACTCACTGATTCAAATTCTGCTGTGCTTAACCGCCCGGCCTCCTCGCCGATTCTGACCAGAAACTGACGCACAGAGCTGGGATCGAACCCGCGCCTCTCTGCGCCAATATTGGTACTCTGAACTGTAACCACTGAACTGTAACCACACTGCCTATATAATAACTTGAGACGTATCCTTTTACTATTCTGATTGGAGCTCGGCAATTGAAATTATTTTTGCGACGAATACATGTTGTGGTTTAATATGGTAGTTAATCTAGACAGGCAAATAAAAATGGAAAAAAGGTTTTTTTCAAAAATTGTGTTCTATGATGGTTTGGCGGAGGCCATACTAGCTGTAGCTGGTGACATCGGCTGACTGGACAGACTTTAATTTGCCTCCAGCTCTATCACAGAATCAGATTCATCGATCTTGCCTTAAGCAATCTCCTTCAACAAAAAAGTTTGGAAAGAAAAATCAACAACATTTTAAAATACAACGAACTTCAAGTTGGAAAAAATATAATAAACAACGTTAAACAAGCCCAAGTGTTTCGATAACAATTCAGGAAACTGCGCAATTGTGAAGATTTCCTGCAGGCTTAGCACAAAATTTTACTAAAGGCAGAGATAATCTAATACTAGCTTTAGTATTATTAGGAATATCTTACCAGGTCTCCATTCCACTCTCTACTAATTGGCCAACTAATCTAGACACTGCGTCCCTACTCCCTATGCGCTCCACGGCGCCTGAACTCGTTCCGAACGCGTAATAAACTCGACTCATATTCGTACGGTTCCCATAAGTGCCATCGAAGCCTTAGATAAGACTTAAGAGTTACATTTGTGACTCAATACTCAGCCATGCATACATCGACAGGTTTG